AAACCAACGTCCGGCAGCTGCACACGTCACAGTATCTGCTGAAGCCGGCACATGAAAGCTTGTGGCGATCAATTGCCAAAATAATTTCAATCCCACAATCAACACAAGCGGTCTTAAATAGCCTTACTGCTTCAAAGAAACGTGACCAATCATGATCAAACAACCAAGGTTTGAGTAGTTTTAGTTGACCGAAACGGCCGCCTTCTATGTCTGCATTGTCCCTTGCCAAGGCTAACGCCCATCCCACCATCTGGCCGCGCAATGCCAAGAGTAGCAAAGCTTTTGTAGCCGCCAGTTGGTAGAGCTCTCCAAAGAAGAACGCCGAGAAAATTGGCCAGCATGCGTGCTGACGTAGTATTTGGACAAGCTTTCACCCAACAGGCCACACTCAAACAGATACTTCTAAACAGTTTTTCCGGATTCCCAGTTTCATGCCATCTAACAACCACTGCACAAGCCGCACATTAGTACACGCGGGTGATTTCTGTCTGAGCCGCTTGATCGCCTGGGGGGGGGGGGCCAGGGGGCCTTGTTGGCGCCGCGTGCCCAGCTCCCAAGGCAGGGGCGTGGTGCCCTGCCTCGTTGTTCAGGTCGAAGAGCGCCTTCCGGGGCACCTGCCGACAGCGTTCCGAGACGGGAAGTCCTGCAAAACTCTCGAAAAGGGTGGTTTTTGTTTTTTTTCAGTGGTGGATAGCCCTATGCCATTACCTACTCTTTTAGGCGGTATTAATATTGTGGTAAATCTGGGGAGGACATTGTTGCCCACAGGCAATCTGAAGGTTCCAGGTTCCATGGGTCAGTCCGAGTGTGACAGCCAATGGGCCAAGCCATTCCTTTCACACCGAACTTTGAACCAACTGGTGGCCGGTGGTCAAGCCATAGCCTTTCATTCCGGAAATGTGTGTGTGTGCCTCGGGTTGTATTCCCCCCTATTTGAAAGCAATCCCAGAATATGGCTGGAAGGAATTCTCCCACCTTCTTTTGGTTTGCACAGTACACCTCGAGGGTCGGGGCCGAAATGCCGCTCAGGGTCCGGCCGTGGCATCCCTCTGCACCTGCCATAGCTCAAAAGCCCCGTTTTCGGCCCGATTTGAGGCTCCGTCCCATTCAACTCGGTGAAGCTGAACTAGATTCCCTCAAGTGCATCCTCACTATGTCCCTCAAATCCCTCCAATGTCCAGTCAAAAGGGAACCTGACGCTCACTCAATTTATAGAGCCCCAAACAAAATCCTAGAACTGCAAAAAACGACAATTCACAAACAAAACAAAACAACACACACACACAATTTGCAAGCACACAGGAAAACAGTGTTCCACACGCCCTGGCCAAGTCCTGGCCGTTTAGCCAAGGCGCCAGCAGCTTGACCACCTCCACATGGCACCGCTGGATGGCCTCAGCCCAAATGACCATGGCGATGATTTGCTTTTGATTTCACATTCCCGTCAAACACGTAGAAAAGGAGCCAACCAAGCACAAAGTCAAGGTCGCACTGACTAGCAGTTTGGAAGGGAATCTCACAAGACACGCGTTACGTTTCTGGGAGCAGCTGTGCACTGCGTTTCAAAGGGATCTGCTGCTCCGTGCCCGCAGATCACGGAATGTCGGGTGCACTTGACCGGGGCCGTACTGACCTGAATCAAGGGATCAAAGAAGGCGAGCTCGCTTCACCCTCCGGTCAGCCTGCCATACATTGTGCTTGCTTAAGGTTTTGTTAAGATTCAAATCCCGGCATTAAACATAGGCAAATGCATATCAATATATTGGGAGGCGATACCATCTATACATGTATATATATATATATATATATCAGAATATGACTAGCTATTCTCATGACAAACGCCAGCAGCAAGGACCAAGAGTGCAAGGCCACCTTGACGTATGGGGTTATTGGGCAAGGTTCTACACCAAGCCTTGTGCAGGGTTGCCTTAGCCACTCCTTGTGTTTGTTGGGCATCATTCCCGGCGATGCGTGTTGAACGGATTTCACTCAGATCGCAGCGCTAACTCGCCCAGAAGCGCAACAACATGAATGAACATGAACAACATAAATGGACCCTGCAAAAGTGCTCAGCTGTTCGGGGCAGCTCTTCCGGCTGAGATATTGCGTGGCTCAGCTTCTAGGCCCTGCGGCGTCCCGCAGCGGCGAGGCACCACCCTGCACCAGCAGCAGCCGCGTGTCCTGAGCGGGGCCGCCCGGGTTGTATCGGGGAACGGGCGTTCCTTCTGAGCACTCTATGACTTCCAGTTTCTCAAGGGACCTTGTCAAGGGACGACAACTTTGAAGTTCCTTCTTTTGCCAGTATGGTTTGGGGAAGAAGCATAGCACCTACAAAGCCAGATCAGTGAGAGCCTCTTGAAACAGCCAAAGAATCATGGAGTGCAGCAGCACTGCGGTGCTTTCTTGGGGTATGGTTGGCACCCAGTTTGGGCGGCGTAGCTGTCACCTCCAAGTGCTTGCTCGGCCACATGGGACCGACACTTGTGCACTTGGCATTCCCTAAAAATGCTTCCTCGTCAAGTGGGAGCCTGCAAAATCCATCACCTTGCCTCGTCCCTCGATTGAATGTGTGACAAAGTCCGAGATATAAATGGTGTCAAGCCAGAAATCGCAAAGGTTATTAAGGAGCCAGGAGCACATAGGTCGCTGCTGGTTCACCACACGGTGCAAACGGCTCCACATGCCGAGCGCGAGGCGTACTGAGCCCCGGCATCTACCAAGACCTGGCAGCACGAAACCTAACCGCGACCTGGCCAACCCAATTGAGGGTAAATGGGTTGATGGGAGGTGTCAAAGCTTGCAAGCCTTTTTGGGTTTCAAATGCGAGGCTGACAGGACGACCCACCCTCCGAAAAAAAGCAACAGGTCGTTGGTCGTTCTTTCTCCCGTCGGTGGGCGTACCTCCACGACCTGTGCATGGCCCATGCGGGCAGCCACGTGGAGCGGTGTCAGAAGGTTCTCCGGCTTGTCCTGGCTCATGTGGCCCTTTGGGGAGGGTGCCCAGGCTCGCCCTCTTTTCTCTGCAAACATCACCCGCCCATATTGCATTGCGTCAAGCTGGAAACATGGATCCCCAAGTGAGGAACATTCATGGTTTTGAGCTCACTCGACACCTCGGCGAGCTGCTGGATCCTTTCCTTTAAGATCCATGTCTGAAACGGACAGATGGAGAAGTCTGGACAATCATCAGATATCACCAGCACTGTTTCCACGTCCCGCCCAGTTTAAGCGTTGCACACAGCACTCGTGAGGTTCATAGAAAAGAAACCAAATGACCGACCCATGACTCCCACCAAATGCATCAAGCGCCGTACTCACTCGTAACTGTCTTACATTGAACCTGAGCTTGTTCCTCCAAAGGCGAGCTGATGTGCATGGGTCTTGTCTCCAACAGATCTAGTCAATCCAAAGTCCGGCCTGCCAGGGAGAGGGCGTTTCCACATCTTCGTGCGCGCCCCGTTCCAGAAGCAAAGAGACCTTGGAAGGCGCCTCGCTAAGCCCGAGCTGCTGGTTTGAAGTTTGTTGAGTCGCGTGGCTGGTTGATCGATCAGCCCCTCGAGGGTGTTGGCAAACATGTTCTTTGCAGTGTCCTTCATAGTCACTGGGAAGGGGGTCATGCTGCCCCCAGGATTGACAAATCTGGCAGGTTTCTTTCAAACGCGCGGAATCTCGTCGTCTAAAATGGGGCGCTTTCCCCAATAGTGAATTGCCAGTTGTTTCATAAACCGGCACTTCACGCACCTCAAATCAAAATTATCAACGTTTCAGAATCTTGTTCAATTTGGCTTGGGCAGCCGCAAGACTTTCATGAGGATTATCTGCTTCGCTCTTGGCTCCTTGCGATGCTGGGAAAGCCGTTGAAAGCTGCCTGGCGAGACTGGCCAAGCGGGGACTTGAGACATGGCCTGAAAGGGTCCCAAAAGCGACTGACATTTGCATTCTAATATATCCCTCCACCTGCAAGCATCTTACAAGAGTTGGTGGCTGCACCATGTTGGAAAGTCAGACTGCTGAAGAGCGGTTTCATATTTTAGCTGCCCTTGAAATTGATAAACATAATAATTCAAGAAGCACTGCCCATTACCACTTGCTAGGGAGGAAAACAATGAGTGTTTGCGAATGGGATAGATGCCGAGATACAGGCTCTGGAAACCGGACCGGGAATTCTGCAGTCACGTGTGGTCTGATAGATCGACCTATTTGTTTCGGTTTTGTATGTGGCCTTGGCATTGCCATCTGCCATACAACTCCCGTAAAGTGATCAAGACGGTTCTGGGGGTCCAAATTTAGGATGATTGCAGCAAACAAGCCATAAAACACCCATGTCACGTGTTTCTTGCGTTGCTTCACCTGATAGCGCAATGTGTTGTTTGGCGGGCTGTTTTCTCCACGTATCCGATTCAAACCCCCTCCTCTCTGCCCCTGCTACGCGGTTGTCGCCTGCCAAAGCGCTGTGGCCCCCTCGCCGTGGCCGAAGATGCTGCTGGCGCGCGCGTCCGCTTGGCTGTCCAGCAGGTACCTCGCGTGAACCCTTCTCAATTTCTTCGCGACAGTTGGGTAAGGCATGGTCAGAAGATGCTCCCTTTGAACACGGTCCCGCCTGGTGGAAACTCCTTGAATTGGCTCAACAGGAGTCCCTAACTTTCGGAAACCCAGCACCTGCTCCTCAGGCTCTAAATTTCTCAGCGATGGACCCAGCGGTGCCAACTGTACACCTGTACAACGTCCAGCAGCTCTTCCGCGTGGGCAATCTCTGAGACAGTGTGAAATAGGCAACGTACTTGTTTGTCGCAGTGCAAAAGGCTAGTCCTGCAACCCAAACCTCCACTGACCAGAGGGCGCATTTTTTTTTATTTTTGTTTATGCACAGCTGTTTTCTTTGGCTCAGTTCAACACCGACAACTTCCGGGTCCTAAGACGGGGACCAATAGCGGCAACACGTACTCAACACGTCACACGTCCTCCGACCCGGAGGCTTCGTTCGCAATCAGCGTGGCCGCTCAGACGCCCATGGCCTTGCGTCCCACTTTGGTCACCTCCGTCTTGGCCTCCGCCACCGTCACCAGCGTCCCCACCAGCTGGGCGATCTCCGGGTGCAGGCGTCCAGCCGCTTGAAGGCCTCCGGACCAAACGGAGACATGAACTCACTAATGGGTCCCCACCAAACATTTGGCCTACACCCGTGTCCCAAAGGAAAGTAATTTAGTCTTCCAACACGTCTCTGCGCACTTTCATGCTTGAAATGAGGTTCATCTTGACTGGGTCGTGCTGCGTTCCAACTGTCGCGCCAGCTGTGGGAATCTTTCGCTGTGATGTGCGGAGTGCGGCGGATCCCGGAGCCCTGTGTGGTTTGTGCCTAGAGGGATGCTTCTTTGCGCTTTCCGGCCCTCCCTACGGCCGCTGTCAACATGTCAAATGAAGGACGGCTCCCGAAGAAAACGGCCCTGATCAACCAAAATACAAGCAACATCGCTACACAGGGTGGCACATCTGTGCTTGCTTTGACTCGATCATGTGGGGAATCAACCAGATCACCCTTTCCTACAAGGATTTTTCGACCCGCCGGTGGAGGGGTGAGGACCGTCTTTGGAAAGCGTCGGAACAAGCCTTGAGTCATCTTGAGTCAGGTCTTGAGCTCGGGAAGGCATAACAGCTGACCCATTTGCCTCATCTCCCCATCCAAGTTCCAAGGCTGAATCGTCTATCCATAGCTCCGATGCGCATAAGCTTCCTCCCCCTTTGCTGCACAGATACTCTAATTCGTCAACTGGAAATGTAGGCAGCCTTCACCATAGGCCATGGGTGAGCTGGTTTAACTCCCAAGGGGAGCTTGTTCAAGAAATACGCAAGTGCCGGCAGGCCCCTGTAGCATTTTTCCAGCCCACAAGACAGCGCAGCGACGCTAGCCAGTCTCCGCTCACGCAAAAACGCCCTCGTGTTTGTTGGCTGCCCCGAGGTGCCGGCACGGATCTTCGCACCAAAGAAAGCCACGAAGTAAACGACTTATTGTGTTCCTTTGATCAAATCACAGACCCCAAAAAAAACACACCTCGCACAAAAGTAGTGAACGTGGCCAGGTTGCCTGCTGCGTCGAGGCTCCGAAGCAGCTTCGCGTGCCTGAGGCAAACGCCAACGACCAGGTTTCCCTCAATCCACATCGTACCAGTTGCTGCTTCTTTACTTTGCTTTTCCGACTCCTTGGGCCTTTGGAGTTCTAGAATTTGGGATCCCTCCTGCTTGGACCCACATTTTGCTGTGGCCGCCATATCTCTCGCACTCGAGGCGGCATAAAGCGGCGCCTCATGAGCGGCGCTTTCACCATGCATTTGAAGAATAGGTGCCCCATTTGCAGGGAGTGCCAGCGCCAGGACGTCGACTAGCCCGTTTGTCTCCGTGCTAGTTTCGTTCGACACAAACTTTGCTTGCCCTGGAAAGAGCCACAACATCCTTACAGTTGCCGAATGATCGAATGTTGTGGAGTTGCCTTGAGGGGAACAGGAACACCCTTGCTCCTTTGGCTAATTCCAGGAATTCCCTGGACAAAAAATACGACGAGTGCCAGGCCGCTTGTCGGCAACACCCCCTTCCGTGGAGTTCTTCCACTTCCGCACCGAAGCCTCTGCGCCTCGGGGGAACCTGAGAGAGGGTCCCAAAATGACGCTGTCAGAAGGACATTGGCTTGTTCTTAACCAAAAGCGCAAGGTACCTCCAACCAAAAGCACAATTGCGTCTCCTTTTGGTCTCCGTTTTAGTTTTGCTTTCCAAATGGGATGGCTGAACCTGGATTGATCTCGTGCCCATCAGCATGATGGGCAACCAAGACAAGTTCCTATCAAGCCTGCTGGAGACGTGGGCAGTTGAGATGACCTAGTTGGGACGCACCCCTAGTCTTAGTTGGCTTTGGCGCCGCGACTATTCAAGAACAAGGGGCAAGGAACAACTCAAGACAGGGTTGCTGCGGTATTGTGTGTTCTGAGTTTGGACAACTTGTTCTCCTCTGAAACGCAGGGAAGGAGCACCAGAACCAGCCCCTCGTTGCTGCCGTCCATGACCGCATGCGCCTGTTGGGCTACCAGCTGGGCCTAAGTGGGGCGCTGCTCTGGCAAACAAAGGACAGTCTGCATAAAAACTGGCAAACATGAAACGCACTCAACAGTTCAAACGGCGTGTATGCTTCAATTTGCTGTGCATGGAAGCCAAATAACTTGAGATACTTCAAGTACAGCGCCATCCACGCAAACAGTGCGCATGCCTGAACATTGAGCACATTCCTCGGAAGGGTGGCCTGCGACATATCTGGGTGTGGATCTTACATAAAAGGGAACGTGGGCACTGCTCGCGCTTTCTGCCGAGATGAGGCTGGGTATTGATCAGAGACTCTGGCAAACCTAAGCACACTATGTTGGAAACAATTGGACATAATCTAACAATTTAACATTTCTCGGATTTAACAACCCATCCAGGTTGCCTCGGGCAAATAGGGTCGGGTGTTCGGTGCCCGACGGGCCGAAATCTAGTCAATGCAAATCGACTGCTCAAACAAACAGAGACGGCAATGAAAGCAACACGCAGCTCAACATGAAACTTCAAGCAAACTCTCGACATATTCATGCAGGTCCTGGCTAAACACGAGATGCCTGTGCAAATTCAGATTCTCCTGAAATGGAACTTGTAAGCTCAACCTGCAAACAACTCAACACATTACGCAAATCAACAGAGGGGTCCTCCCTGCAAAGCAAGGCACGTGGCTCAAGCCGTGCTCCACCACCTCCACCACCTTGCACTTGGCCTCGCGAAGTACTTGCCTGGCCCGTGCAAGCACACAAACGCAAGAACGGCAAGCAAATCAAACGATAGCTTAAGAGAGCAAGAAAGCAAACAGTGGGTCCTCGCCGTTTCTGGCCCAGAATCTCATTCTTGCTTGTTTGCTAACTCCATATCCACTGTTGTGGTCACAAACAGCAACTCGGGCTGTTTAACGTTGCGCCCACAATCTAGGAGCGACTTGCCTGACAAGTTTAAGGAGTCGAATGAAACCAGCTTCCTGTAAGTTTACTCGGTTTACGAGGTGTTGGACCTGCACACTCTTTTGCAGTCAATCCCTCAGCAAGGCTTTAAGACACGCCTTCTCTGCGTGCTCAGCAAAACATAGTCCCAAATATTGAATGTCAACCCCGGACAAAAAGAAACTGGAGGATCAATAGGGTTGGGACTGCCCCAAAGTAAGCAAGTCCTTTCTGAAGAGGCGGCATTCCAACTTCATCAACCATCGGTTGATACATCCGCGGTGCCATGGTGATTCTCACGATGCCTCAGGGCGGGGCACAGGTAGAGGCGCAGGCGATTCTTCTCCGCGGAGAAGCCATGCGCCAGCTGCTCCTTTTGCAGGCGCTCGGAGATCTCTGGCAGCGGCGCTGCCTGTGCGGAAGGGCTCGGTGCACGGATCCATCTCCGGTAAGGGCCGTAAAACTACGACTTAGAAGGGCTGTGGGGTACGTTTAACCAAATTGAGTCATGATGATAAGAGACCAACTAGCCCATTGCACCATTGTGCCACTTGAAAAACCAATCGGCCGTTTAGTGGCAGGGGGCCAACGATTGAGAGGGGAACGCCGCATGAGGCAGGCTTATAGCACAGTAGATGGTCAGTAGAACACCTGTTTGCTCATGCCACATCCCTGCTTTTCAACACCGAGCCTATTCCATCAACCGCTCACTAAAGGGGTCACAACATAGTGGCTTGCTGCCTCCAAAAGGCATATGATCACACGAAAGCCATGCCAGTCAATCAAGTCACCCGCAAATTGGAAGGCTGCGGCAAAATGGATTCGGATTGAGCCTATGGATGGCTTTTGAAGGAACCTCAGCTCGAGATTCGCACAACCATCACTCGGCCGCAAAAATGCTTGTCCTTAGGGAACCTCAACACCGTTCATATCGGTTCATATGCAGTCCCAAAACAGAATCTCTCCCAAAGGGCCTGGGCCCTGGAGAGCCACAGTCGGCTAGGAGATCCCGTGCAGTTTGAGCCTAAACGAAGTAGAAGCAAAAACCAGCACAGTGAGACCTCCGGAATGTGTATGTTGTGGATCTGGATCCCAGTGGTGTTGCCTGCAAATAGCGGGCTCCTGAGAATGGCTAGGTGTGGGTCTTGCTGTCACGCGCAATCCAAGGCTCCCTCGACTTTGGGACTCGCTACATTCCATTGGCGGGTTGTCCAATCAGCCACCGGGTGAAACAGGTGGATCGGCTCCCTTTCAATCAGTTCCTCACGACCGCTTCTTGAACCAAATCTGTAGCTTCCACGTTGCTTCAAAAAGTAACTTATTGACTAGTCACGTTCACCCTTTCCCAACACCAACGGAATCTACCGCTTATCCGGATTGGATTGGGACCATCCCCATAAACCAGCACCTGGACGGATTTCAACCTTGGACCTCCTACCCCCCGCCCCCCCTCCCCTTTTAATCACCAAAACACATCGATCGCCTCAAGAAGCTCAGCCTTCCCCTGACTGGTGCTCTGGATCGGGATCCTGGAGGGTCATTCCCCGATGTGCCTTGAAGGGCTTGGAACATTTTGGAACATTGTGTTTCGCCATCAAGTAGTTTCAATTGGAAGTTCGCAAGGCTACTGGAAAATGTCACCACTCCAAACCAAGCCTCTCACGGTACAAGGTCCAAGTACCACGCCTCTGGGAGCTGAAGTACCACACCGAAGGGCAGCCATTGCTCGTGGAAGCCCCGGTCCAAGTACCCGTAGTAGCCTAACTTCCAGCTGAAGCTGCTTGACACGTGGCAAAACACAACCGAAACGAAATCAACACACTTTGGAATGGTTGGCTTCCTGGTTGGTCAACCCAAAATCGGTCCATGATCCGTGCTGGGAAACCGTTGCAATAGACCAGCCTGTGGGCAAAACCAACGGCGGGCAACTGAGTTGCTGAGCAAACAAGATGTACGGATTTTCTTGTATCATGAAACTGGGCATCATTTCATGGGTTACGCGGGATGATGGGAAACATGAGGCTGTGTTCCTGCTAAACGGCCAATCTATCTCGGCCATGACGAAAACCCTTCAAGCCCTGATTTTAGAGGCCGGCACAAGCCCCACGCCCCTCCGACGAATCCGCGTATCCTCAACATAGGCTAACCCACTTATTGCAGTGCAGCCAAGCAGGATGCTCTTGCCCGCCCTTCCATCACCAGGTCAAAAGCGCAAGTCTTGTGCAAACTGCCTACATATTGACGCCAAAGGTGCCTGGATTGCACATCAGCTCGCCCCAAACGCCTCAGGTTATGCCATTGATACCGACAAGCAAGAACAAGTGCCGCCCACTGTGCCTCATCTAACAGAATAAATGAATGTAAAAAAGGTGGGTGCCGCTCTCCTTTTCCCTCACAACTGCCAGCCAATTCAAACTTTGAAAGGGACCGCAAGGTTTGGCAAAAATCCACCTTCAATCCATTTCCAGCACCCACCAAGACCCCGCCTGATTGAAGACGGCCGCCTGCCTCCCCCAAATCCCAAACATATAAACATATTGTTGAATTGCAAGAGTTGTTGCCAATACTTCTGCCAATGCTATACTTCCGGTCCTGGTTTCAAATCCAAGCCGTGCGTGCTTCCTTGCCTCTGAGCAATGCAAAGCTCTCATGGATGTCCATCACATTCACTGCTTGTTGCAGGCATCCTGTGGCCTGCAATGCTTAGAGAACTCGCCGAATTGTTGAGGCTACTACGTATTTGCGGGGCTGCTCCATTCATGAAGCAAGCACAAACCTTATGGACAAATGCCAAACCTTTGCCACAGAATGCACTCGGGTCCCTACAAGTCCTCTGGTTTCCGGCTGGGCTGCTTGGAAGTGAGCTTTCTGCTCACCCCGACGCCTTGCAAGTCGCTCACATCCGTGCCGAGTGGCACATGGCGCCGGGAGCCAGTGCCACCCCGAGCAGCTCGGCGAGGCGCGCCTGGAGAAGCGGCAAGTCGCAGGCGCCGGTGGCCGCGGTGGAGGTGCACTGGTAGCTGCTCACCTGGCCACAGCCCGAGTTTCAACCATTCAAGGGCCCCCCAGTGGTTCAACTCTCCAAAAAAAAGGCGGAGTAGAATATACCCTGTTAGGGTCTAATGAGGGTTTGTCAGGCGCTGCTGGGATTTTAGATTCCTTTCTGGAGCCTGAGTAGTGCCTCGCATGACCTTCAGCCACGCAAGGGTGAAAAGAAACTTCTGTGAGCGAGATCCCCAGTCTGCGACCAAGCTTTAAAGATTCCCTCCGTGTCTTGGTATCGCAGAACTTGCATCCAAAACCAAACATATGTGGCACTCATTGCCAACATTGTCTTCAGAACAGGCCCCCTTTCCAAAAGAAAAGCAGCCTTCCAAAGCAGGGGTCGAAAGCAATGTTGGGTTGAAGGGTATTATAACCCGCGAGAACAGCCAATCGGTTTCTGGGCAAATCACTACCGTAAACATATCAAAACCAAAACTATCCCACAGCAAAGCAGGGGACATAGCACACAAAACAAAGTGACTCAAGGAACTCTGGGAATCCTATCGGTGCAGGCCTTGCCCAGCACGTGGCGTCGGCCGACCAGGTCACCTGTGCAAGGTGTCTCGGTGTTGCTTCAACCTGGACATTTGAAGAAGCAATGAATCGCTGATAAACTGAACAATCCTTGAAAAGATCCTTGGTCTAGGTTGCTGCCATTCTTTGGATCGTGATTGGGACGTTGGAAGGGACGTGGAAGCGAACGTATGCGAACGTTGGAAGGGAGCCTAACGTGTTTGTTTGGGATTTGCAACCCGAACATGGGCCCACTGAGCAAGGCTCTCGCCACAAAAAGCGATCGGAATTCTACAGTTGAAGGCGTGCTTTCAGTGCAATGCTCCGCCTGGGCGCTGTCCAAAATCTGTCCATGCACGCACCCAAGAACATGCTGGTAATGCTGTGGGCCTCCGCCTTGGGTGTTTATGCAAGCAGCACGTTGCCGCCGTTCAGCGCAAAATTATTGATTGCTAAAGCCATGGCTGAATAAGCAAACTCAAGTCTCATTGCCTGTGACCCATTCGTGCAAAGCGTTCGCAGTGCTTTGTTGACACATCAGGGCTTTGTCATGTCATGGCGACTCTCTAAACTTCGAATGAAACCAGAACCAGTCTGGTGTGGACTAAGACTTGTGAGGAAGTGTCGCACGTAGCTGGTCCACAGGAAGCATCATTGAAGCCGACAAGTTTGGGATGAATATCTTTGCATACACTTTGTAGGGTTGGTTTGCAAGGCAACCAACACTTGGCGAGACGTATGCAACCCGCCAAAGGTAAGTTTATGCCAGTTTATTCTGTGCGGGTCAAACAGGAAAATAAAGGAAAGGTACAAGGGCAAACATGTTGGTAACGTCTGGCAACGCAAAGGACACCGAAGACAACTTCGAGACCAACATAGACCCCGCCACAGCTCAGCTAGGCTGTGTGGACTTTTGACTGGGCAACAAACATCAGTCTAAGTTGACGAATGCCCTTCTGCATAAACACCCCCCTCGATATGCGGGACAGAGTGCGGGACAAAGTGCCGGACAAAGTGCGGGACAAACTGCTCAACAAACAACTGTCCGCCAAGTTGTCCGGAAGGTTGTCCGGAGGGTTGTCCGCGCACTTTGCCGAGATTTATGCTGCAAACCCCCCCTCCCGCGAGAATACTTTCCTCCGAGTGGTTTCCGAGTGGTTTTGAGCGGGTTCCGAGTGGTTTCCGAGTGGTTTCCGAGTGGTTTCCGAGTGGTTTCCGAGTGGTTTCCGAGTGGTTTCCAAGTGGTTTTGGCGTGTTCCGGGGGTTTGTCCCGGTTTTTTGGGCCCCCAAAGCTGTCCGGAGGCTTGTCCGGGGGTTTGTTCGGGGGTTTGTCCCGGGCTTTTGGGCCCTCAAAGCTGTCCGGAGGGTTGTCCGGGGGTTTGTCCGGGGGTTTGTCCCGGGCTTTTGTGCCCTCAAAGCTGTCCAGAGGGTTGTCCGGGAGTTTGTCCGGGGAGTTGTCCCGCCGATTTTGCGCCCTCAAAGCTGTCCGGAGGGTTGTCCCGGGGTTTGTCCGGGGGGTTGTCCGGGGTTTTGGACCCAAAATGTGAAAACAGGTGTTTATGCAGAACCGCCTCTGTCAAAGTCTAAGTCTAGGCCTGGACCTCCCAGCCCAAGCCCGTTCCAACTTTCGGGCCTCTTTCAACTGAACATGATAGAAAGGAGTTCGGGAGACCAAAACGAGAATCTCCGGCAGTTCGCATCGAGCTCGCCTGTGTCCAGCAGGCCCAGGCTAGTCCCGTCGTATTTCACCGAGGCCGAGAAGAGCGGCGTCTCCAGCAGCTGCTTCTCAAGCTGGCGCTGCATGAACGGTGCCTCGCTGGCCTCCGATCCGCGCGGTCAGTTCGGGAGGATTCTGCCGTTCCTTGGCCCTGTCTGCTCGTTTACTGATTTACTGCCCTGAGCTGGGCCCACAAATGGTGCATGCTCCGAGGCTCGAAAAGAATCGGCATTCGCCCTGTGGCTTCCCTACAGGGAGAATCGCAACTACCAAGCGAGGGCTGCAGCATCCCAAAGGTCTCCGCTAGACAACAACCTCACGTTCCATGCTGGGAGGACACCCCGTTCCGCAAGGTCGCTACGCTCATTGGTGACTGACGGCTGTTGACCCCTGGCTGGTGACCTGAACGCAGCTTACTGCAAGGGCGTGGGCTTCATGCTGAGATGCGAAGTGAAAAGCATTGCCGGCTTAATCGCGGAAACCTCCAGAAATCCGCATACAATGATGGATTTCGTGGCAGCGACTCTAGCAACTGGCGTCGTTCGGTGAAACGCAAAGAGAAGTTCAGGCATCCTCTTTGCACAGTCAAGCAGCCCGAATCCTTCCCTACAAGTTCGTCCGTGATTCTCATGAACATACCGTGTGCTTGTGACCGAGCATGTTAAATGTCTGCAGGAAAGCGGTACATCCAGCTTGGACCACAGCAACACATAGAAAATAATGCCCTCCATCAAACGATCTACTCGTGGCTCCATCAAACGATCTATTCGTGGCTCAGCACACAGCCAACGGGGCTCCTGATCATACTCATCTTGTTTTCACATAGACATCCACGAGGAGCAAGCCTGCCGAACGTGATCCAAATGCTCGCGAGACCTGCGGTCCCAAGCCTTTGTGCACCCCTAGTCTAGCTTCCTTCCCAACATCCTGCTCACTTCTAAAACTTCCTAGCCCTGATATACAGAGTTTCGGCTTTTGCATACCGCAAACAACATGAATAGACAAAAGGACTGCGCAGTCGTAAAGAACACTGGAAGAACATGGAATTCCATCGGTTCTTCCCCCGTTTCCGACTTGATTGGATCTTGCACTGGCCTCAGCATTGAGGTAGCACCGGATCTGCTCGAAGACCCACTCCTGACGTTCGAATACCCACTTTCGCTGCTCAGAATACTCCAGAACTCCACTATGGCACAACTTACCTGGCTTAGATTTGCATTTTCTTGACCTGCAATTGCAAACACATACCACCGGAAGCATTTTCACGAACGACAACCTTAGAGCGACCAATCTGGTAAACGTAAACCGAAGGGTGCTTAGAGATGGGTCAGGGTCGTTTCTAAAAAGACCTCAGTTGGGAAGCTGACTGGGAGAGGGAAATCACAGCATGATTGTTGAAATGATCGAATGCAAACAGAAAAACATGATAGATTCAAAGGGTTGCCAACTTCAGTCTGTTGGGGCAGCAAACACCCGCTGGAAGCTAAACGTGCACAGCCTCCGGAGGCTGTTGGGACCGTCGGCCAGGTTGTGACATCTGGACTTCCGGGTTGATCAGTTTCAGTGAGAGTTCAAACAAAAGGGAGCAAGATGGAGCAAGAGTGCCACTTAAGAACTCGGACATTCAACACTTTGGGCTTGTCGTTTTGCCAAACTCGGGAACGGTTTCTTGGATTGGCTTGATGCCGGCGGCTGGATGCCCCATGCGCATCTTGGAGGGCGTAGCACTTAGGAGGGTGCAGAATGCATCATGCAGCATGCAGTTCGCTCTGAGAAAGGGGTAAGCTAGAAAGCCCTGTTTTTGTTTCTTGCTTGGCCATTCACTGAAAATAAATCACAACAAAAGCTGCAATCAGAACGATGTGATCCATGAAGTTGAACCTGCGGATGCAGTGCCTGAGGCCTCAAGTGATCTTTTTGTGCCTGAAAAGCACGATGGAGGTAGAGGGTGCCGCACTTGTGTTTCGCAAATATTCTAGCACTTTCCCCATTCTAGTTTGAATAGGGTCAGGGCTTCAAGCCTTTACCTTCCTTTTGAACCCCTGCTTTACTCTTACCACCCGCCTTAAGGATGCCAGAAAACTGAAACACACATTTCAGCGGCCGAACGGGCTCAGGGTAGTTGTCGATGCTGGCCCAGGGCAGAGGGTTCTCGCCCACCTGAGAAAGAATTGCGCCTTGATCCCCGGGCTTCCGTCGGAAACCACACGTGTTATATTCCCATCCGCCAACCTAGAAGCCAAATGGGGTTGGTCCCCGAGATCATTTTCCAAAAACCCTCTGATGTGCCCCACGTTGGTGGGAGGATGCGGAGCTTCAAACGTTTAAGTCATTCGCACAACATCTCTCATTCCCCTGAAAACTGGTCCTCGAAAGATTGTGGGCATGTGTGCGTGGGTGTGCATGTGCATGCGCATGTGCTTGTGCGGGTGCGCAGGCGCGTGCGCGTGCGCATGCGCGCGCGCGGATGTGTGTGTGTGTGTGTGTGTGTGTGTGTGTGTGTGTGTGTGTGTGTGTGTGTCTGTGTGTGTGTGTGTGTGTGTCTGTGTGTGTGTGTCTGTGTGTGTGTGTCTGTGTGTGTGTGTCTGTGTGTGTGTGTCTGTGTGTGTCTGTGTGTGTCTGTGTGTGTCTGTGTGTGTCTGTGTGTGTCTGTGTGTGTCTGTGTGTGTCTGTGTGTGTCTGTGTGTGTCTGTGTGTGTCTGTGTGTGTCTGTGTGTGTCTGTGTGTGTCTGTGTGTGTCTGTGTGTGTCTGTGTGTGTCTGTGTGTGTCTGTGTGTGTCTGTGTGTGTCTGTGTGTGTCTGTGTGTGTCTGTGTGTGTCTGTGTGTGTCTGTGTGTGTCTGTGTGTGTCTGTGTGTGTCTGTGTGTGTCTGTGTGTGTCTGTGTGTGTCTGTGTGTGTCTGTGGGTGTCTGTGTGTGTCTGTGTGTGTCTGTGTGTGTCTGTGTGTGTCTGTGTGTGTCTGTGTGTGTCTGTGTGTGTCTGTGTGTGTCTGTGTGTGTCTGTGTGTGTCTGTGTGTGTCTGTGTGTGTCTGTGTGTCTCTGTGTGTGTCTGTGTGTGTCTGTGTGTGTCTGTGTGTCTGTGTGTGTCTGTGTGTGTCTGTGTGTGTCTGTGTGTGTCTGTGTGTGTGTGTGTCTGTGTCTGTGTGTCTGTGTGTCTGTGTGTCTGTGTGTCTGTGTGTCTGTGTGTCTGTGTGTCTGTGTGTCTGTGTGTCTGTGTGTCTGTGTGTCTGTGTGTCTGTGTGTCTGTGTGTCTGTGTGTCTGTGTGTCTGTGTGTCTGTGTGTCTGTGTGTCTGTGTGTCTGTGTGTCTGTGTGTCTGTGTGTCTGTGTGTCTGTGTGTCTGTGTGTCTGTGTGTCTGTGTGTCTGTGTGTCTGTGTGTCTGTGTGTCTGTGTGTCTGTGTGTCTGTGTGTCTGTGTGTCTGTGTGTCTGTGTGTCTGTGTGTCTGTGTGTCTGTGTGTCTGTGTGTCTGTGTGTCTGTGTGTCTGTGTGTCTGTGTGTCTGTGTGTCTGTGTGTCTGTGTGTCTGTGTGTCTGTGTGTCTGTGTGTCTGTGTGTCTGTGTGTCTGTGTGTCTGTGTGTCTGTGTGTCTGTGTGTCTGTGTGTCTGTGTGTCTGTGTGTCTGTGTGTCTGTGTGTCTGTGTGTCTGTCTGTGCTGTGTGCGTCTGTGCGTCTGTGCTGTGTGTCTGTGTGTCTGTGTGTCTGTGTGTCTGTGTGTCTGTGTGTCTGTGTGTCTGTGTGTCTGTGTGTCTGTGTGTCTGTGTGTCTGTGTGTCTGTGTGTCTGTGTGTCTGTCTGTGTCTGTGTGTCTGTGTGTCTGTGTGTCTGTGTGTCTGTGTGTCTGTGTGTCTGTGTGTCTGTGTGTCTGTGTCTCTGTGTCTGTGTGTCTGTGTCTCTGTGTCTCTGTGTCTCTGTGTCTCTGTCTGTGTCTCTGTGTCTCTGCTCTGTCTGTGTCTATGTCTGTGTCCGTGTCTGTGCGTGCGCGCGCGTGTGTGTGTGTGTGTGGGTGCGCGCGCGTGCATGCGTGCGTGCGTGCTTGCTTGCGTGGCTGGGTTGGTGGGTGGGTGGGTGGGTGCGTCGGTGAGTGGGTGCGTGGGTGTGAGGGTGCGAGGGTGTGTGGGTGGGTGCGTGGGTGGGTGCGTGCGTGCGTGCGTGCGTGCGTGCGTGCGTGTGTGCGTGTGTGTGTGTGTGCGCGCGCGCGTGCGTGTTCTCGCGTGCGTGTGCGTGTCCGTCTGCGTGTGCGTGCGTGCGTGCGTGCGAGCATGCGTGCATGCGAGCGTGCGACATGGGTGTGTGTGTGTGTGTGGCGCACGTGCGCGCGCGCGCGTGCGTGCGTGCGTGCGTGGGTGGGTGGGTGGGTGGGTGGGTGCCTGGGTGCGTGGGTGCGTGTGTGCGTGCGTGCGTGGTGTGGCGCGGCGCGGCGTGGCGGCGCAGTCTCTCGTCTCTTGTAATTTCAGGTGCGTCAAACTAGTGGTTCAGCTCAGGCGCTTTTACTTTTACTCATTAACCGCTCGGCTGAAGAATCGCTGTGCTTAGGACGATTTGCCCGACGATGTATTATAGGGCTATCGGACTGCATCTGTCAAAAACTCACAAAAACCCTATCACTTTATTTCAATTTAAACCGTATAACTAACAAGTTTAACCTACACTAGAGCAAATCACGCAACGAGTCATGACGGAAAGTGACGGGCAACTCCAAATCGACATTAAGAGTAAGACTATTAAGTAGTTTCCCCTTGTCACAGAGCTCTTAGTCGGCCACCCAGGGCCGCAGACAAGCAACCTGAGAGCACCTGAAAAGCAACCAAGAAGCACCTGCATAGGAACTAGAGCCACAGAAAAGCAACCCAAAATTGCAACCACGCAACAGAAAAGCAACCCAAACTGCAACCGCGCAACCGCTAAACAACACCAAGGTGTGTGTGTGTGTATGTATGTGTATGTGTGTCTGTGTGTGTGTGTGTGTGTGTGTCTGGGTTGTGGTGCGTGCGCGCGTGTGTGTGTGTGTGTGTGTGGGCGGGTGAGTGCGAGTGTGGGGTGCACGTGTGCGTGCGCCACTCTGCGCGTGCGCGCGCGCGGGAATGCTGTCTAAATTGCTATACGTGTGCAGCGCGTTTCAGCAATGAATGAGCCCCTGAACCTCAGACCTCAAGAGGCGATCAGTCCGACAGCTTTCTCCAGGCGCCGTAACAAATAGTCGCGGACTCACTGATAATTAGTCTTCGGAAGCGCCCCCGATCCCAATTGCAAAGATGCCTTGTCCGCTTGAACAAAACACCAAACTTAAGGGTTCTAGGTGCCCTGCCTTCGCCCATGCCTATCCTGATAAATTGAAATCAAGTTGGGCCAAAGCTGCATGCTCCCATTGGCTGAGAATGGCCCAGTTGCGTGAGCAATGATCATGTCTGAGGGTTTCTTGGTTAAAGCATTGGCCCTGACTGTTGTGCACCCTTGCGCCTCCTGATCGTCTTGCGAAACGAAACATGTGGGGCGACCGGCCCCGCCCCCCCTCGCCTCACCCCGCCCCGCAAACGCTAGCACACGACGCCAAGCGGCTGGCACGCCCACCGGGTGACTTACCTTCCCCTGAGTCCTCTTCCATTCGCCATAGCTCTTGCCCACAGACCGCTGCACAAACTTCCTCGAATCGCATTCTCTCGCACAAAGCTGTGGCCCTCGCCTATGTTGGCAAAAAGTAACAGGCCCTCAACCCAATGCGAGTCGCTTCAATCGGCTGATGTATGAGTATGAAGACCGAACCTGCTTGCCTCTCGAATAGCCCCAATAAGATGCAGCAAAAGGGCCAGACTTCAGCGGAACCGGTTTTCTGGGCCATAATTTCACGCTGACAGGAGAGCTAGATGAAAATCACGCCAGCACTCAACCAACCAATGAGTGTTTTGCCTTTGCATTGAGCATGGGGGGGTGGTCAGCTTGGTGACGCCAAAGACTTTGCTGCTGCTGCTGCCTCACGCGTGTCTGGACTCTGCAACACAACAGAGTGGCTATTTGAGGGCGCCACATTCTTATATAGGGTGTCTCTAGAGATCTATCTACTTTACACCTGATGAGGCCCCTTCACTCTGGATGACAAAAAGGGGTCTCTCTCACAATGTTTTGCGGAGCTTCGTGTTCCAACTCGTCAGTGAGACCGAAAGGAAGAGCCCTGCATATGTGCATTTGGCCCTTGGTTTGCACAAAGTCCCTCGGCCGTATTTTGCTTCTCGTTGCACAACATGAATTTCGAACAAGTACCCGGGCCCGTACCCTTCCTCTGCCATTTAGCACTGGGCAGGCAGCATAACCCTACGTTGGGATGACAAGCCAAAGAAATCGGCCGGTATGCGCGAGGCTAAATTTTGTTTCCTGTCAACACCTCTTGCTGGAAAAATATCTCCAGGTGAGCATCGCGACAGACTGCTCCTCCTCTTCCGAGGTTATGGCAGGAAAGAAATCCTTGTCTCCACGCATCTCCTCCACCAGCATGGCAATAACCTGCGCGTCAGGGAACTTGCTACATGCCCCAACTGGATCCTTGACAGGATTCTTCATGCTAGCACCTTTCATAGCACCTTGCATCTTCCAGGCGAAGCAACCTACCAATAGAGTACAATTGAACAGTGCGCACAGCGACGGGTGAACACGCAAACAAGCCAAGCACTTTATGTCTGACACGCAAAACTGTGTAATTAGGATTGAAGGGAGGAACTGAAGGGTTGCGCTGGGCAGCGCCCAAGGCCATGCTAGAGCCTTCGCCTTCTTTTTAAAACAAAATACGCCAAGGTGTCAAGGTCACGACACGGAGGACAACTTCGGAACACGGGCAAGGGTCTGCGAGTATGCGGTTTAACGGAGCTTGCAATTTCCAAACGCCATGGGTGCCTTGTCAAGTTGGTCTTAAGAAAGTGCCCTCAACAGAGCGCAGCTCCCTTGGAGAAAACCTAACGACTCCTGCAGACTTTCAAGAAGAGCCTGATCGACTGTGCAAACCTCCAGGGTGGTTTGCCCCCTCTTGTGGGATACTGTCTGTTGTCAAGAAGAAGGGCCAAAGCTTAAAGTGGGCTGCTTCGGGAAGCACTTCCCGTTGGAAACGCGAAGACCTGATCAGCAGCCACTGCCAAAACTAAGACAAAACACTGATGCGACAAAACTCGAACAACTGGCTGCGGCTTATGTTTTCACAATTCAAATCAACAATCCCCGAAAAGAACAAACCAAATCACAACCGTCAAGGAAAAGGTCATACCTGATTAACCCCAGGCTGGCAGCTTGCTCTTGTCCCAGTCAACTCGGGTTCCCTCGAACCTGATCGAGAGACCTTACCCACCGTCCGGCCAAAGGGCCTCTTGAACGGCCATGCCCTTTTCGAAGTATGTGCTAAGCGTGTCGAACCTCGGCTGAACCTTACCTCCTGATGACAGACTATTCAGGAGCGCTGCCCAAACACATCGCTAATATTGTATTTATTTACTGCGCTCTCAAATGCAGGTGGTGGGGGTCTGAGTCTGCGCCAGGAAGTATAAAGCATCCGGAACGCGAAAGCCTACTTAATGCAATCCCTCAAGTGTGGCCCGGACGAACGATTTACTAGTTTGGCAGTCATTGGGCGTGGGGCATTGGGGTTCCTCCCTTGCTTGATCGTGTCAAGTGCCCCCAACTCCCACAAAGTCGTTTTCATCTTCGCTCAACCCTAGCCTTCCCCGTCCGAACCTCTAGCCGGCCATTGAATACCTGGGTCATCAAGGCTTGCCCTGTAAGAGGGCAATGATGTTCCGCCCAGCTGCTTGCTGATGGCACTAGCAAAGGCCACAGCCAGGGCTTTGGAGAAAGCAACCTCGGCGTCTGCCGCGGCGCTTGCCATCGCAGGGTGCGGGCCTTCCTCTGCGCACATGGCGGTAAGGTGACTTGATAGGACTCCAGGCTTGAGCGAGCCCAGCAGCGGACGGGCGAGAACCTTGCGGCTTCCAACAAAACACGTTCTGCGTGTTGCTTCGTTGAACCACATGGCTGGAGAATTGCTGCGCTGAAGAATTGTGCAACCCCAATGGATGCAGCATGCGCTATGTCTGCGATATCTGCTATCCCATTTGTTTGGGCTGCTTCTGAGATTTTGCCAAAAAAACATTCTGCTGAGGCGGCAGGAACGGACCCGCAACATTTTTTTGGAGGCGCAAAGAGCTGCGCAACCAGTTCAAAAGGTGATTCAAATGCAACGCCAGTAGGGAATATGATATGAAGGCGGTCTTCGACTTACATCAGCCAGCCAACATGCCGCCTGCAGCCTACTCCTAGAAAAAAGGGGTTCAGCAGCTGGCACCACCCACGCACACACACACACACATACCCGCCCGCCCCCGACTCCTCGGCCGTCAAAGGGCTCCGCGCACCTCACAACCTCGAGGTTGCCAGTGCAAATAGCATCGTGGATTGGCGGGCCGGACCAAAGTAGGCCTTGGTGCTGCTGGCGGAGCAAGCCGACACCGAACGGCTTTGCCACTTTCAAATGCCGATGACTGGGATTGCTATCCCTATACACCTTTACATGCACTTCCTTGCGTGTCGCAGAACATGTTTGAACCCCCCCTTTCCCACAATGGTGTTGATGGTTTTTCGGATTTATGTGTGTTCCCCAAGAAATGGCACTGCTCATTCGCAGGCCAAGAAGTGGATACCAACCCTTCATGAACAAGTGACCAACTGATGGATCCAGCTAGAACCCAGTCTCATTCATCATGGAGACCGATCCCGCATGGGTAGTAAGGAAATTTGACATCTGAAACAAACATCTCAGTATTTCACATGTCGGAAGCTGCCCGCTCAATCCCACTCAACTTGCTGGCTGAGTCGGTAACCTTAGCAAAGCATACCTCATAGAGAGTGAGCAACACGGAAAGACCATGGGAAGTCTGCCGTGCCACTAACTAACCAATGCAACCCTCTGACTAATCCAGAGACAAAACGTAGTTTCATTCCACTGTACTGTTGCCCTTGGAGGACCCTTCAAAATCTGGATTTTCCTGATCTTGTCGACCTTGGGGAGGGGCTGATTTACTAGTCAGGAGTAGTCATCAGGTGCGTTATGGTGCGTTTATGCTCCATTTGTCACATGCATGGACACATGTGAAGGGTGAAGGGTGAGACAGGATGTGGAATTTAGGACAACCCCCGCCCATCCGAGTTCGCTGCGGCTGCTGCCAGCGACCAAACTGGTGGGCACGTCCATGGCCTGAGGCTGACAAGCACCGCCCGGTGAATTAAGACTGATGCGAGGGGCTCGGAAATGAGAAACAACCAGAAGGTCACCTTTGCTTACAATGGCAAAGCCGAAAGGTCAAAGGTCGACTTGGGGCACGTCGTAAGTAGGGGTAACTTTGCACCTCCCCCCCTCCCCCCCTCCCCCTCCCCCTCTAAAAACAAGGTTTACTCTCAGCCTTGGCACTGTCAGCTCTCTGCATGATGCCGTTCAAAAGCACGCAACCCGAGCGAACGAGGCGCTTGAAAGCCGAAATCGGAAGGAATCATTGTGTGTTCGGGCCCCGCTTGGAAGTCACATGCTTTGAGACTTCATGCGACTCTCTGCGGGTTGTCGTGTCATCACTGCTGTTGCTGCCTACTTTATTGTGCCCAGAAAAAACAATCTAGCGCCTGAAAGGGAACATCGCACCTGAGAGATCTTGGTTTCAGTGGCGGGAAACAACAGAGTGGTCAAGGCTTCGCCAGTTGAATCATTGAGTGGGGACATTGAGGACGTCACAAAAGTGAAAGTCCCCCTATTCAAGGAGACTCTCTCTCTCTCTCTCTCTCTTTTTTTTTTTCTCTCTCTCTCTCTCTCTGTCTCTCTCTTCCAAAAAAGAGGTGTGTACACAGGTAGCCCCTCTGCACGAACATGTTGCTCAATATTCGGTGCCCTCCTTCAAAAAATGATGCTTGACTCTCAGAGTCACCCAGTGATTGACATTGACCATGCAAAACAAGAAACACAAGTGAATCCAGTTTCCACGTCTTTGATCAAATCGCCAAGCAAATTCTACAAGATCTCGTTTCAAACTTTGGATATCAGCTTCCTTTGGTCTCGAATCGCGGCTCACTTTTAGCCCAGCAAAGCGCATAGCTCACGGTGGCCTCTGTTGGCAGCTTCTTGGATGGGCAGGCGCCCGACATGGTCGGCCTTGCCCTTGTCCGCGCCAGCCTCCACCAAGCAGCGGACCACCGCGAAGTGGCCAAAGGAGGCAGCGTCATGCAGGGCCGTGCGCCCGTCGGAGTCCACCTTGTCAGTGTCGGCACCAGCCTTAGTACTCAACCCAAATAGGATGTAAAACAAACTTCACCCACTGTCAAATCACATGAATCTAATTGAATATACAAATACAGGTATACATTGTATACATATTTAGTTATATATTGCATATCGCAGAATGCCGACCCAGCTGCTTCTAGCAAGTGTTGCACGACCTCGAGGTGGCCTTTCCGGGCTGCAGCATGCATGGGCGTGCGCCCATTGGCGTTGGCCTGGTCTTTTTCAGCGCCCGCCTCCAGCAAGCAACGAGCGATCTCTTGGTGCCCTTTCCGGGCAGCAACGTGCATCGGTGCAATTCCATCGCTGTCGGCCTTGTTCTTGTCCGCGCCAGCCTCCAGCATACAGCGCACAACTTGCAAATCACCCCTCGTAGTGGCTTCAAGCATTGGCGTCGTCCCAAAGCGGTCTGTTCTGTCCATGTCAGCACCGGCTTCAAGCAGGCAACGCGAGACTTCCCCGTGTCCAGTGAAAGCTGATATTTGCAAAGGCGTGTGCCCATCATCATTGGCCTTGTCTGCTTCCGCACCGGATTGCAGCAGGCACCGTGCGATGTCAGCATGGCCGCTGAGAGCAGCAACGTGCAACGCCGACTTGCCTCTGTCATTGCAGGCATTCGGGTCCAGCGGCCGCTCCAAAAGGCTTATGACCTGTGCAAGGTCCCCACTGCCGGCGACGTGAAACAGCTCCGAGACCGCTCCCTCCGCGGCCTCGTCCGCGACATATTGCCGCACCACGGCCACCAGCGGCCCCGCGTTGCTCCAGGGGCTGCCAGGTCCCAGCGCTTGCTCACCGCTGACGACTGCGAGCTGCCGAAAGTTCCTCACGTCCAGCCGTCTGGCGACTTCCTGCCTCAACGCATCTGCGAAGCTTATGCCCGCTCCCCGCAGCTCGCGGCGCTCATCCCACCATGCCGCGAAGTCCGCCTCCGAGAGCACGAGATGCCCACTGGCCAGGTGAACGCATGCCATGCCGTGCTCGTCAAAGCATGGCTGCGGCAAGGGCCATTCCCCAAACTGCCCGGGGGGCAAGATGGTGCAAGCAGGCTGGAATCGAAGCTACTTGGGCTTGCGCATCAGTTAGCAGAGCCAAGGTTGCTCCCTGCAAATGTGGCACAAATGTTTAGAATGTATTTAGCTGCCTTTGAGATCAGTTGGAGCCAAGTCTGCAGCTATTGCCAATCTGTATAGACACCTGGACGGCTTTCTCGCGTTGGTGGCAAAGTCCAAGTTTGAAACGTTGTTGTATCTAAGATGGCTTCCACCAGTCCAACGTTCCTAGCTCAAAGGACAATTCATGGTTCCCGTATGTATTTCTTTCTCTCTCCCTCTCTCTCTCGTGCTATCGTACCCCAGTTTTCCCCAGGAGGTACTGGTTTCGTTGGAGATCGTGTTTTGTAGGACACGCTCTTGGAATTCTGACTTGCCGATACGTGAGGACTCCTATAAGCGATCTCTTCTGGGCTTCTTTGTGCTGAGGGGGATCTTCGGCAGGTAAGGATCGCATTGATTTGAAGAATGGCGCACTGGCACAACTTGGTTGACCCTCCATTTCCTCTTGGCCTTTGCGTCACCAGCCAACATGTCCACAGGCATGCATCACCCCTTCAAAGTCATACAGGCCTCAACCACCCAAAGCAGCGTGCCGTTCAAAACAGGGGTCAAACAAGTTGTCACTGTACTTGGCAATGCCTTGCAATTCTTGATGAATATGGTGGGCCTCTGGAGATAGACTGCTGGATCGCTCACTTTGCTCAATGTGAGCACATCTGTTCCCAGTGAATATCCAATCAAAACTGTCAAACATCCCGTCTTGCAAGCACGGCATCGAACAACCAAACAGGCATGCAAGCGCCCAACTTCTTCACTTGCGGCAAGTGCGCACTGCCGACAGCTTCAGGCACGAGCATACCTCTGGCAGAGCCTCTGGCATGCTATGCCGCGCTATTGGCGGTGGCCTCCAGCAGGCATCGGACAACATCATGGCCAAATAAGGCAGCATCCTGCATGGGAGTTCGGCCATCGACATCAACACTCTCCGGGTCAGCCCTGGCTGCCACCAAGCAGTGCACCACTTCAAGATGGCCCTTTCGTGCAGCGATATGCAGAGGCGTAAGTCCAGAATTGTTCGCCTTCTCCCTGTCCGCACCTGCTTCCAGCAAGCGACACACAGCTTCTCGGTGACCCTTTCGAGCAGCAACATACATGGGTGTGCTGCCTTCAATGTCAGCCCTGTCCTTGTCGGCGCCTGCCTCCAACAAGCAGCGCACAACCTCCCAATCCCCTCTTACAGTCGCCTCATACACTGGCGTGATGCCGTGCTCGTCGGCCTTGTTCATGTCTGCCCCTGCCTGAAGCAAGTAGCGCACCACCCCGAGATGACCAAAGAAGGCGGCATCCTGCATGGGCGTGCGCCCTTGACGGTCAGCTATGTCCTTGTCAGCACCCGCTTGCAGCAGGCAGCGCACGGCTTCTGGATGCCCGTTTCTGGCAGCAGCATGGAGGGGTGTGTGCCCGCTATCATTGGCCTGGTTCGTTGCAGCCCCAGCTCCCAGCAAGCATAGCAAGATTCCAACATGGCCCCTCTCAGCAGCCGTGTGCAAAGCCGACTTGCCTCTGTCATCGCTGATGTCCGGGTCGAGCGGTCTCTCCAACAGGCCTTGCACAGTGGTGATGAACACAAAGTTCCCATTTCTGCTGCCCTCTTGAGTACCCGGAGTTCGGATGATCGGGAGGACCACACTCGTCCAAGAAAACCGGCAACCGCTGAGTAGAGTCCCCCAGATTTATCCGGAGTTGAGACTAGGGAGTTTGCCAAAAATAAATGAAAACAATATGCTACTGAATCACTGGGACACTTGCGACCTTGACAGCGTCACCGGTGCTTGCTGCCTGAACTAGCTCAGAGTGGCTGTCAGGGCTCGGCACGTACCTACGGGTTTGGACTTGAGTGTTGGGCAAGAAATCAGTGTGAAAAGATAGCGAGCTTGCTTTTGAAACAGTCCGGGCATAGAAACAACATCTGGAAAGCTGGGAAACATGTGTTTGAACAACACGTCTGGAAATACATTTCAACAGTTGGATGAACGTAGATGACACAATTCCCTTGAAAAGGCTAATTTGATGACTCAAACAAAACGCGGGGGAGTATGCCAGCTAGTTTCACCCAAGTGTAGTTGGGTGTGTCTCTGTATTTTGGCTGGCTCGAAACGGGAAACAAAAAGGGAAACCCACCATTTGAAGGGTGCCCTATCTTAAGACCCTCTCCCCCTGTCAGGGCTGCTGAAGCAAGTTGCCCTGTGTGTTTCCACCAGTCTGCTTCTGGCAACCCCACGTCCAGACCATCTTAAGACACGTGAATGCGCAGCCAAGGCGCTGCTGAATCACGGCCACCAAGGGCTCGGCATGCCAAGGGCTGTCTATGTGCAGCACCTGCTGGCCGCTCACCAGGGCGAGCCGTCGGAAGTTTCGGACCTAGGCGTCCCATTGGAAGCCGAAGGATCTCTCGATTTTCTTTGTGCCTCTCGGAGAATTGCCGTTCGGGGATATCTCCATTTCACATCTTGTCAGGCAACTTTATGTCATGTCATTTCCTAAGGAGGAAATCCTGACAGGAGGCTACTTGGGTGTTCAGATCAGACCTGGGAAAGCTTGTTACATTCTGCACCAGGTCAGTGAGCACTTCCTGAATTGGATAACCAAGTATAGCCCGGCTGTAGATTCGACATGTTGCAGGTGATTGGCGCAGCCTGCTGGTTTCTACCGAGGGATGATGGGACGATGGACCCCTCGCAAAGAATGTTCATGGTGGAACATGTCCGGCACTCCGCCGGGCTGCTGGACATGGAGTCCAATTCCAATGGAACCACTGCCAAGGGGACGAATTACTTTTGCATATCCCAAGCAAAGAATCTTGTGGATTGCACAGCCCAGATTCATGCTGGCGCCTCAGGGAAGGGCCACAGAAAAGCAGACCGTATTTGATTCGCCAAACTTTAAGCAACTACCTGTGCCAAAGGAATCCTCAGAATCGGCCAGCACCTGCCAGGAGGACACCTGATCTCCGCCAACACTGGCTGCAGCCAAAACCGAGATCAACAAATCATCTCGGCAACTAGCAAGAAATTACTGGTTTGAACGATTATCTTTACTCCTCTCCGCAATTTGTGAAGCAGCTAAAACAACCATGTAATCAAATCCTCTAAATCCACTCACTTGCCCCAAAGACCCCGAAATTGAGCGAGAAAAAAAAAGGACAAAACACATAGGTCCGCCTGCAAGCGCTTGGCCAGGTGTTGCCTGAGCACGTCCACGAAGGGCGCAGCTGGGTCGCGCGAAGTCTGCCACCAGGTTTCGAAGTCGGCCTCCGACATCACAGCCTCCCCGGTGACGCGGCGCACGCAGCCCATGGCAGGGGTTGATGGCCTAATCAAGCCAAGCAAACCGGGCATGGTGCGTGTCCAGGGTTTAGTGCTCCGTACTTGCGCCATTGAGAAAGTTGAAATTGAAGCTGGCTGGTATAGGGCTGGAAGCCTACAACAAGCCGGCAAGATGCATGTTTAGCGCTTTTCTTGTCCAAAACTTTAAAATGTTGTGATTGGTGTACTTGTCAGATTGTTGGGACATAGGCCAACAAGGCCCCACAAGCAGAACAAATCCAAAGAAGGAGCTCAAATCATTGCACTTCAGTTTGAAGGGGCAGCATTTTGAAACGGACCTATTGTCTCTATGCAAGCCTGCAAGCTCGCATGCTGACATCTCGTACATTTGGACACAGACCCTGCACACAGTGTTTACACAAAATATCATCCCGCAAAAAGCATTCAAGCAACCCATGTAAAGGAGTCGCCTGTTCGAGGACGAACTGGTGCTTGGTTGAGGATGCTGAACCTCTACCAGGATGGCACGGCAATCCCAAGCCCTAGTCGCGCCCAATAGCAGCCAATATGGCGCATATCTAAGTGGGACCCTGGAAGATTCGCTGGAGGGCCCTAGCCTTGCGGCTTGAGCCATTTCCGAGGTGACAATTTGAGCCCGGCCTTGACTACCTGCAACAACGGACCTCTCCAAATGGTAGGTTTCATGTCCGGGGCCATTTCAACAGCACAACCATTGCCCATTTAAGCCTTTTTGGGTGTACAGGCAACACCCGAAAGAAGAAAAGCCCTCTCTTGGCCGCCAGCCACGCCACATTCCGCAATCAGCACCTGGCCACGGTACCGTTTCAGCACCTAGCCACAGTACCGTTTTTGAGTTGTTCCGTGCAAAACAGGGCCTGCAGGGCCATTGGGTAAATGACATGCTTAAGACAATGCATCCAAACTGCAAGAGGCCGCACGCTTTAGCGTGCAAAACGTGAAGGTCCAAATGAAAGCCTCGAAGTGAGAGAGCCATCATGTCAGCCTGCGTTCCAAACAAAGCGCTGAATCAGCAACTTCTTGTGCTGAACGGCCTATTGCCCAATGACTCTGGTATGAAAAAGGGCACCCTTTTCCGAGTTCAGCAAAAAACGCAATCCAGAAAGGGATGCTTGAGAAACCCAAAAACAAAAACGACAAATTGTCCTCTTTGAAATGCTCACTTTGGGACATCCAATTGGACGCCGTGGTCAAAAACGTGAGGGAAGGCCATGCTCCGATGCTTGCAAAGGACTTGCATGGGCAACTTACCCCAAATTCACCCATTCCAAACAACGGAAATGAGGAACACCCTAATGAGCACGCAATATGGGCGCTCCTTTTCAGGGTTTCTCCACAGACCCCAACAACGACACAATAACGTTCACCAGTTGTCTTGGGAGGAGGGATGAGGAGGGCTTTTTGCGCAGGAATGTTCAGTGCACGGACAGAAATACGCCTCCGCTTTTTCCTTTCCTCTTGTCATTTCAATCAGTTGATACAATTCACATTGTACTTCAAAACCTGTGTCCCGCACAGGACCATGGTAAGGCACAACCAGCCATTCAGGTCACTACTAGTTTTGGGGTGGCGGAGACAGGCGTCTGTGGCTATTTCATTGCAATCCTCCACGCTGGGGACCCTGTTACGCGCGGGCGCGGGCGCGGGCGCGGTCGCGGGCGCGGTCGCAGTTGTCCATCCGCTTGCACAGGAAGGCGGGCGAGCGAAGTCGGAGTGGCGGGCCCGCTTGCCGCATTGGGAGGGACGCTGGAACCAGTTGCTCCTGGATGTGTGCCACTCGTGCCACTCCCTCTTGAGGCCGAAGACCGCCACCCCCGTGGTACAGACAGAATCGAAAGCGCCACAGCCGCCTGTCTCCGCCACCCCCGTGGCAGAGACCTTGCATCAGCTGGCTCTCCGCAGCACTTGCGGTTGCACTTACCTGCTGGCAGGTGTGGTGCCGTGGCGGAGACAGGCGGGGGTGGCGGAGTCAGGCGGCTGTGGCGCTTTTGGATTCTTGGCGGAGACAGGGGGGGTGGCGGAGACAGGCGGCTGTGGCGCTTTGGATTCTGTCTGTGCCACGGCTGTGGGGACACTGTCTGTGCCACGCGGGTGGCGGGGGTGGCGGAGACAGGCGGCTGTGGCTTTGGATTCTGTCTGTGCCACGGGGGTGGCGGAGACAGGCGGGATAAATGAAAAATGAAATGCTTTTGCCAACAGGGCGCGGGGACCTCACAAACACCGCGCCCAACAGGCGGGACAGGCGGCTGTGACGCTTTGGATTCACGGGGTGGCGGAGACAGGCGGGGTGGCGTGGCAGAGACAGGCAGCTGTGGCGCTTTGGATTCTGTCTGTGCCACGGGGGTGGCGGAGACAGGCGGCTGTGGCGCGTTGGATTCTGTCTGTGCCACGGGGGTGGCGGAGACAGGCGGCTCTTTGGATTCTGTCTGTGCCACGGGGGTGGCGGAGACAGGCGGCTGTGGCATTCTGTCTGTGCCACGGGATTGACGGAGACAGGCGGCTGTTTCGCTTTGGATTCTGTCTAGCTATGTCTGTCTTTTTCGGGGGCTCTCCAAAATGTTGCTTTCGTTGGTTTTGCTTCAAGCTGGAGCCAGAAAGAAAAGGGGGACCCCAAAAAAATACTTCGCTTCGAACAATGCCCACCCTTAACACTCACGAGCTTACGACCATGAACACGGTTGTGTGAATTCAAGCATGGTTTTCGCGTGGCTTGGGGCCTATGACTGCTCAACAAGCTTTTCATTGAGAGCCTTATCCACCTGTCTGTGTGTCAAACTTCACTTGTCTGCGGGCCGATCTCGAGAACTAAAACATCGGTTCCATTAACAAAAGCCAATCAAGCGCCTTCCAAAAAGAAACCTGACGGGGGATTAAACGAAGTCGCTTATTCACAGCCCAAAGCAACACAGGGCACACTCAAAACACGAAGGCACCAACATGAAATGTAAACCCAACTGTGCGCCGGGCGGGACATTAAGCAAAACCAGACTGGCGGGCTCCACTGGCGAATGCTGGCTCCGGCTCGATACTGGCCGGATACTCGGCATGATCCACCGGCAAGGGATACTCACCAGGATGCTCGGCGGGATCCCCTGACGAGCTACTCACTCGCCGGGATCCACTGGCGGGCTGCTCTGGCGGGATACTCGGCGGGATCCACTGGCGAGCCGCTCTGGCGGGATACTCGGCGGAATCTCGGCGGGATCCACTGGCGAGCAGCTCTGGCGGGATACTCAACGGGATCCACTGGCGAGCTGCTCTGGCCGGATACTGGGTGGGGGCGTGGTGTAGACGCCTCGCAAACGCGGATGCCAACATCAAATCTAACAACCCCTTCCTGTCGGGCGGGGAACAAAAGGACAAGGCGGCGCCTCTACGAGCGCACGCACTTCGAAGCGGCACAGCCGCAAGGCTGCAGCCAGAAGGCCCCCACTGATCTGCTTGCCATTGGCCTTGAGAGACCCAGGTGTCAACGTGGCCCATGGAGGAACCAAAGCAAACCAGAAGAAAGACCCGAAAGGCTTTTTTCGGGAAGCCAAAAAAGTAACGCAACATTTTATGGGTTAGACCCCTCCGAAGCCAAGAGACGATCGGCCTTTTACAAAAGAACTATACTTCCCAACCCCATGAAACGAAGTTGGATCGAGATTCTCTGTTTCGGACCCGGTCCAAGGTTTAAGGTTTAAGAATACATCCTGGAATGGAATGATCCAATTGAGACTAAACACATCCGTGGAAAGGCACTGATCCACTGAACCCAGAACAACATAAAATCCACATCAGGAGAGAACCTGGCCACCTCCCTTCCTTGCCATGACTTGTTGGTGAGGGGCTTGAACTAGTTTTGATCTGGGACCTGTCCTGAGCCCCCGGATATGCAGACGCTTAAATCCATGAAAGAAGCGAAAACCCTTCCATGTTATGAAACGCTTGTTCAAATGCAAACAAGCCTTCAAATCCGGGGCGGATCATCAGGGGTGGCTTGAACCCAAAGCACGGGGCTCCACCACCATGGAAATTCACAGGATTGCACTTCTTGCGGGGTGAGTCTCGGAAAACGACAGGGTGTGCAAAATATGACTTGATACAACGGCGAAGTTCACCTTCCAACAAAGAGTGCCTCTTCCAACGCTTGCTGCTGTTGTCGCCTCATTTTAAACATCTACTCAGTAAAAGATCGGAAGGTGGGCGCCGCCAGCCAACCCTAAACACCTTCACATCTAGGTTAGCCTCTGAGCTTGCCTGAAGCCAACCCTAAGAACAGTCGCAACAACCCAAGGGCCAAACAAGCCCTGGCTTCAGTCTCGACATGCCCTCCCGCATCCAGAGGCCCGGCAGAGCTTAAATCCGCAGCCTCAGTGTGGAAGGGAAATGGATCGATGTCTGCCCGGACACATAGCGATCTTGGTACTTGTGGATCCTATGCTTTTGTCCCTTGGCAAAGGCTTTTTATATAACTACAAACAATGCGGTCACAGGCCAACGCCTGTGGAATGTAGGCAACGTGTGAGCCACGGCCCTTGTAGGTTGCTATTGCTGTTGGAAGCTATGCTCAGTTTATCCTTGGGTTTACCCCTGGGGGTCATGGGCCAGGGATCTGGTGGCAAACCTTGGACGGTGCCATTTGGTGGAAACCCGTCTTTCTGAGATTACATTCACCGCGCCCCCCCCCCCCACCACCCCCCCCTGCCACCCCGCCAGCAGGCATCGTCCGGCCCATCACCCTTGGATTTCGTGAAAACAACACCGCAAGCCATTTACAAGAACTTGACAAGCCTGACCTTTCCTGAAAAAATGAATAAAGCGGATCAGACCAGTCACAGCTTCTTTGCGCTTGTTGGCAACCTGGACCAGACCCGCGTCTCAGCCCTCGCCAGGAAGGGCCCCGGGCGCGGAAGGTGAAGGTGGCAGAGCTCCAGTCCGGGTGCTGCTCCAAGAGCGCCACCAGCGTGCTGCCTAAAAGCGACTGAAGCAACCGAAGCCGGGAGAGCTGATCAGAGGGGCTAAAGAAACAGGAGGAACTAGAGCTAGAAGAATGCTACAAGAGCCGGTTTTATCTTCTCTCTGCATTCAGTAGTTGAGGGAAGACACAAATTGAGGGAAGAAAGGCACTCAAGCCTATGGCTCCAGTTGGCAAGTCCAGAACCTGTGAGGCGACTCAGCCCATCCAATCGCACAGGGTGGCCTGCTCATTTTGGCAAGCCTGTTTGGAGGGAAGGCGTTAGACAGAATACAGCGCACAAAAGCTTTTTGGAAGTTAGCCTGGCTTAATGCCAGCAACACCAGAAGTGGGCCTTCAGAGCATGTCATATGGTTCGGAGTCACCAACCCTTCAATGTTGAGCAATTGTTTAGGAGACCGGGTTCTATTGTTTAAGCACAAAGAGATCTCGTGTAGGGCTACTGATGACAGGATATATGATACATGTCTTGGGCATGGCTAACGAAAGTTGCCATGCTCAGGGCTCGCCTTTGGCGGTTTCCTTCTCAGGACGTCAAGTTGGACAGGGCCCCTCCAAGAGGATTTCTATGGGCTACGCTTGTTGGAGCCTGGTTCGTGTTTCTCTCCAACCAGGGGCCTAAGACAAACCTGAGACCAATGGCAGCCAGGCCCTGCAAAGGAACAGTCCGCAGGCCCTCCAAAAACTCATGCAGCGTCACGTAGCAAACGCTGGATGCTCGGTTCGGGGTATGACCACGCGAAGCAAGAAACCAATGGACCCTGGCGCTTGTCCAAAGCAGGGGCGCCCAACATGTTTGGCAACTACTCAAGAAGCTTACTTCGTGGTGCTTAATCTTGGCCTGAGGTAACTGATCCGAGATAGGCCCTGACAAAATTACTACATCGAAATGCGTCTGTACCCATGGGTGTATGTTCCTGAACGCACATGGACAGATCTTGGATTCCATGTTTTACCCAAAGCCACCAGTGAAATGGCAGCCTTCCCGAACCTACCCCGGCTCTGCATCCTCTCTGGGCACCCCCAGCCGTCGCACTCCTGAATTGCGTCCTAGCCGGCGATTCTCACGGCAGGACTCTCAGCGAACGTCCTGGGCCTGCTTCAAAATCCAAGCCTTCAAAGAAAACAACAAACACGTGTGGTTTTGGACAACTCAGTGACTACACCGGCCGCTTGAAGACATTCAATTTCAATCCACCTCTTCCAAACTCGAGTGAATTCATTCTAAGAAGCCTGCAAGATCAAGACCCTGCGACCTGAACGCGGCGATGACATCTTCATCCGGACATGTCCGCCATGCTCGCCATCACCTCTGTGCTCTCGCAATTTCTCGGTCTGCCCCGACCTCCAACTCGTGCGGCAGTTGGCATGGGCGCCTGGGCGGGAAAGTGCTTCCATGGGTCCATGGGGCCGTGGGAGAGGCCCGACACAACTCCGAAGACCAGTGAAAAACTTGGGGGCGGGCGACGACTCCCAGCAGAGCCACCAATCTCGGACAAACCCACGCATCTGCCAAGTTCCGTTGCTGAGCAAACATTGACATTTGCCCTCTGGCCGACCATTTTTTCGTGGGACCGCAATGTTGGCTAAATATATAAACATAACCGTGTATATATATATATATATACATATTCCCGAGTCATTGGTCGGCAATGACTGTCTGGCAGCAACAAGGGGGATCTTACTGCAAGATAGCTAGAGTCCTCATTCAAACTGACAAAAAGAGTAATTAAACCACTTAAATGGTTGCCCCAAAGATCCCGTAAGGTGTAGACAGTCATGTCCAGGTTTGGAAGCAACCCCGGCTTGATGCCTGTTGAATGAACAACCAGCCGTGTGCGGCGTCAGATTTCCTGCTGCTCGTTCGCAGCTCACATGCTGTACCAATCCCCCATGCCAGGCAGGTTTTGGACCTGTCACTCTGGTAGCCACGCTTTTCCGACTATCGCCTATAGGTGTAGGTGTAAATATATGAGCCTGTGGCTCAAGGAGGGGTGCCAAAGCAATGTAGGGGTCCATTCGTGTTCAACCTGAAGGGAGGGTCGGGGTCAAATGGAACGCTCCTTCAACGTCCGCACAAGCTCTCGCACAGGTCCTCAGCCCCGCACTTCGCCATATCATGGCGTTGCACCGGGGCAAGGCTCGAAGAGACCGTCCCGGCATTCGATATCAATATCGACTTGCTGCGTGTGGGACAGTGAGCTATGAGTCCAGGGGCCCACCACTACACTGCACACGTCGCAAGGCTATGGAGCAACCAGTAGGAGAGCTTGTGGCTTCACAACCGCGCCAACCACTGTCCTCTTTCAGTTGGTTTTGGTTGGTGCCCGCTTGCCACGCACCAAATACAGGAACTTGTGACCCTTGAATCACCCATGTTCACGCCCATGGCCGTTAGACACTACTTGCCAGCGGTTTTCGCTGGCTGCGGGCAGGGCTTGAACCGGCCACTTCCATGTTATATGGATAAATGACTCATGTCAACTCATTGGGCAATTCCAGCGCGATGCTGAATGCGCTGCATTAGATGATAAGCTGCACAAACTGCAAAGAAATGAGATCCAAAAACAAAACTATGAGTCACCAACTGAAAATTTTGGGTGCTGGGTAGCAGAATGTAAGGCTGCACCCAACGCAACAACAAACGTCAAACTTTTGTTGAGTGGGCCTGGGCGCGGGCTTGTGCAGAAGGATTTCAGATCCACGTCCTTGGAAAAGCATCCTCCCACAAACAAGTACCCGAAATAGTTGGGCATGGCTTCAAATGGAATTGAGTGATCCCCATCCAGAAACTAGCCTGCTGCTAACCTTCCCCAAGCGCTGATCTGTCCAGCCAACCCCATGCGAAAGGGGGTCCTTGTCAACTCTTCCATTGTAACCCTCGAGGCAACCGCAAAATGAAGATCGCCTGAATGAATCCAACCACGAGACTTTAGCACTCCTACGCCACAAATCCCTCCGTGAAGAGCCTTTGTCCTTTGAACAAACCAACTCTCGCAGCCTTTACATGCAAGCCTCGCCCGCCCAAAGTGCCGGGCAAGCCATTTTCCGCCATCCCCATCTTCGTGACGCAGCGGGCGCAGCTTGCCTGGCACGTGCTTCAAGTTCACCCTTGTGCAGGGGTTTAGTGTGGACTGGGCCCGGCGAACCTGGAAGCCCCGGCACCTGCAAGTCGAATCCGGCCTCCCGAATTGCAACCCTGACATTTGCTTGGACCCTTTAACAACAGCCAGCGGCAGGAGCAGCTGAGTGTCAGAAGGTTCGGGGCAGGAGGGCCTCCGGAACTCAGTAGAACATCTGTGAGACAGCTGGTCCTTGGCAACGTTTCCTTCGAGTAATCGACCCCCTTCTAGGGCAAATGCTTGAATATACGCCATGCAGCTAGAGCCCGCACCCGCGGGTTATGGGATCCGGGACCCCCTCCCACATGAATTGATGAGTCAAGCAATGTTCGATCTAATTCTGCCCTGCTTTCCCAACTCACAAGTAGCTGGCTTCCCACTTGCCTTTTCAAACCATGCCACCGGTCTGGGCACTAGGGCGGAATCCTTTGTGGCCGAAAAATAACGGCGCAAATCAATCAGCCTGGGGTGACCCATGTGTGGAAGTGTGGAAGCTCCCCTCCTTGGCAAGTTCTTTGTCCATGCATCCGATGTCGTCACATCTTTCCAAGCCTTGGGCTTGTGCATCGACGCTTGTTGCCGGGAACCTCTATGCACGTTGATTTTTTCGGGGCGGCGGCGTCCGCCAAATAATCGACAATTTCATTGTGACTGAAGCGCACCGCGAGATCCAGGGGTGTGCGCCCAGCGTAGTCGGCTCGGGCCTTGTCAGCGCCAGCCTCCAGCAAGCAACAAACGAGGGCGTACTGGCCGCAGCTGGCAGCCACGTGTAAAGGCGTCCACCCGTGACGACAAACCTTGTCCTTGTCAGCGCCAGCATCTAGCAAGCCGCGAGCGACCTGGAAATGACCCCCTCTGGCAGCAATGTGAATGGGTGCATCTCCATCGTTGTCAGCCTTGTCCTTCTCAGCACCCGCAGCCAGCAAACAGCGCACAACTGTTTGCCTGCCGTTGTCAGCTGCCAAATGCATGGCCGTCTCTCCGGAATGGGTCGTCTTGTCTTTGTCAACCTTGGCCTCCAGCAAGCAACGTACAACTTCGAGATTTCCCACAAAAGCGGCCAAGTGAATCGGGGCGATGCCGATGTTGTCGCTCTTGTCTTTGTCCGCGCCAGTCGACAACAAGCAACGCAGCACTTCCGTGTGGCCTTTGGCTGCTGCATCATGCAAGGCCGTTCTGCCCCGGCGGTTGCTGGCGTCCGGATCGACAGGCTTCTCCAACAGAAGTGTAACCTGCCCGGCGTTGCCGTCTCCAACTGCCCGCAGGAGCCGGCTTTCAAGGTTGCCCGTTCCTTCCTCCTCTGACACGTATGGCCGTACGACAGCCACAAGCTCAGCGTGCATCCAAGGGCTGTCTGGTCCCAACTTATCCTCCGGATGATGAGGGTCTGACATAAATAAAATTGAGGGTCTGCAAAAGCAAAAGTCAAGTACCTATGTGGACCCGTGTGTGGGAAACCGACATGACTGGCATATTGAGAACTTAGCCAATCCTCGCCGCAGGCGAGCCCGAGCTGCCGGAAGTTGCGTAGCCGCAGGCGCCGGGCCACCTCGCGCCTCATCGCGTCCAGAAAGCCTCAGTTGCCGAGACTTGGACGTGAAGGGCCTTGCCTGAAACATCATCAACATGAGCAATGCAAAACACGGGCCAGCGAAAAGTGGACCAGCATTCAATCAGATAAAGGTCAAAGATAATCCCTTCCCGCCAATGACTAACCCCCCCTGCCCCTGGTTTCTGGCGGGCAGGTTTTGGAGGTACCTCTTGTCCTTTGCAAGCTTGTTTGCAGCTGTGGTCCCCTCTTTCCGGCCTGTGAAATCGCATCAACGTCCACTTCCAAGTAAGGAAGTTAAACAGCAGAAGACTGCCATCCAGCCAGCCACGAGAAAAGGCAAGCGGAGACTGCCCTTTTGTGCGTGCGTGCGCGTGTGTGTTTCCTAATGTAGACCCTTGTAGAACTAGACCACGGTTGGCCCGAAAGCATCACGTGACCATTCTGCGCAAGTTGCTCTGGGCAAGGTGCTTTGCGCAAACTGGTCTGTGCAAGTTGCTCTGCGCAAGTTGCTTTGCGCAAGTTGCTCTGTGCAAGTTGCTCCCTGCAAGTTGCTCTGTGCACGCGGCTCTGTGCAAGTTGCTCTGTGCAAGTTGCTCTGCGCAAGTTGCTCTGCGCAAGTTGCTTTGTGCAAGCTGCTCTGTGCAAGAAGCTCTGTTCAACTGACTCTGTGCAAATGTCTCTGTACAAGTTGCTCTATGCAAGTTGTTCTGTGCAAGTTGCTCTGCGCAAGTTGCTCTGCGCAAGCTGCTCTGGGCAAGGTGCTTTGCGCAAACTGGTCTGTGCAAGTTGCTCCGTGCAAGTTGCTCCCTGCAAGTTGCTCTGTGCACGCTGCTCTTGCTCTGCGCAAGTGGCTTTGTGCAAGCTGCTCTGTGTGCAACTGACTCTGTGCAAATGTCTCTGTACAAGTTGCTCTGTGCAAGTTGTTCTGTGCAAGTTGCTCTGCGCAAGTTGCTCTGCGCAAGCTGCTCTGTGCAAGTTCCTCTGTGCAAGTTGCTCTGCGTAAGTTGCTCTGCGCAAGTTGCGCTGGGCAAGGTGCTCTGCGCAAACTGGTCTGTGCAAGTTGCTCCGTGCAAGTTGCTCCCTGCAAGTTGCTCTGCGCACGCTGCTCTGTGCAAGTTGCTCTGTGCAAGTTGCTCTGCGCAAGTTGCTCTGCGCAAGTGGCTTTGTGCAAACTGCTCTGTGCAAGAAGCTCTGTGCAACTGACTCTGTGCAAATGTCTCTATACAAGTTGCTCTGTGCAAGTTGTTTTGTGCAAGCTGCTCTGGGCAAGTTGCTTTGCGCAAACTGCTCTGGGCAAGTTGCTCTGCGCAAGTTGCTCTGCGTAAGTTGCTCCGCGTAAGTTGCTCCGCGCAAGTTGCTCTGGGCAAGGTGCTCTGCGCAAACTGGTCTGTGCAAGTTGCTCTGCGCAAGGTGCTCTGCGCAAGGTGCTCTGCGCAAAATGGTGCGTGCAACTTGCTCTGCGCAAGTTGCTCTGCGCAAGTTGCTCTATGCAAGTTGCTCCGCGCAGCTTGCGAAGCCCGCTCGCGGACCAAGGGGGAATCGAACCCGCGACCCGCCGGTCCCGGGAGCAGGCGCGCGAACCACGACACAACTCCCGAGGACCAGCTCGAACAACAAAAGTTGTTGCGCAAAAAAACCTTGAGTTTTTGGCACCTCGACCACGCCGATCCCCGCAGAGGGTCGTGCGAGCCAAAACAAAATTGCAAAAAACCTCGAGTTTTTGCACCTCGACCACGCCGATCCCCGCAGAGGGTCGCGCGAGTACCGCAGAAATCGTCACGCGAGCCAAAACAAAACCGCAAACAATCTCGAGTTGTTGCACCTTGACCACGCCGATCCCCGCAGAGGGCCGCGCGGGCCAAAACAAAATCGCAAAAATCCTCGAGTTTTTGCACCTCGACCATGCCAATCCCAGCAGAGGGTCGGTTTTCGTAGAGTGGCGTCGGCACTACCCCGCCGCCCTAAGAAGAGATTTTAACTCCTCGCAAGTCAATTGCACTTGACTCCTTGCACTTGCAACTTGCACTTGACTCCTTGCACTTGCAACTTGCACTTGACTCCATGCACTTGCAACTTGCACTTGGCTCCATGCACTTGGCCCCTTGCAACTTGCAATGACTCTCATGACTCCTTGCAATGACTCCTTGCAACGACTTTCATGATGATGATTCCTTGCAATGACACCTTGTAATGACTCTCATGAGAACAACTCAAGTGAACCCAGCGGAAGAACCCTTCGCCATGCTTTCGGGAAAACCAATGAAGACGTCCCCCTTTGGCTTTGGAGCCTTTTGGTTTGAGGCGCCCTTTGACTTCCAGCCATAGTAAAGGAAACGTGCTCCTGGAGATCCGGCTTGAAAGTCGCAAGTTTGTAGTACGACCGTAGTGTGCAAAACGTACTCCTGGAGCTCCGGCTCGAAACTCGCAACTTTGTAGTACGACCGTAGTAAAGGAAACGTACTCCCCCGAATAGGGCTGGATTTGAGAACGGGCTGCCTACTTTAGAATTGGTTTGGTATTGGCTATTCTCAAAGTAGTATTCCCGGATTTGGGACTTCCGAAATATTTTTGTCCGGGAGGCCTGTATAAATACGGGAAACGGATTGGTCAAAAAGTGGATTGGCTTGCGAGCGGCAACCGGCACCACGTTCCCTCAGCTCGCTGGCCTCCCACCACGCGGCGAAGTCTGCCTCAGACATGACCTCATCCCCGGTGACACGGCGCACGCAGCCCATGAGAAGGCCGCGTTTACCGAGCAGCTCTTGAACGACACTTCGAGCCCGTGCCCCATTGCCCAGCCCCCTACCTGCGCTATCCTTGTGAAGTCATTCGTGATAGCCAGCCAAAGTGCTTTCTTAAATTGTACGTTGGAATTCGTCCCAAGCACCATGGGCAGGACAAAGCAGCTGTCAGCAATAAAGCATCTAAACTTTTAATGCCGGGTGCCTGAAGTATTGGGTCCATTGTAGCGGTACTTTTTCAAGAATTGTGAAAGGCAAATCCACTCCTCTGCGCGAAGGCTCACCTCAATGTATAGTTTTTTTGGTGGGCAGGTGGGTTCCCAGCCGGCACATCCCGAAATACCGCAGTCACGCGCACTTTCCAGGGCTCCCAATTTCTGAGGATGGCAAATCCTCAATAGTGGGGCTGGGGGCTTGCTGCTAAAGTAGACTAGCTCACATCAGTAAAACGTTTTGCCTCAAACCATGACAAGTCCGAAGGAAAAAGAACTGGATTCAGTCCTCCGAAATTCATCTCAGGAATATATACTGCTAGAATTCGATGGCAAGCGGAGTGAGTTGCGTTTCTTTTTGAGCACTGGATTGACCAAGGCTGGCTCCCCTTTTCAGGGAGAACTTGTCCAACACTTTAAGTCCAGGAAACTTGCGCTGGGTATTGCTTTTCTTTTGGACTTCTTGGTTTGTGGATCAGGCGAAATTGGCAGGCTGATGCAGCCGTCTCCTCTTGCTAAAACGCGCGTGCGGAAAGCTGCACCCGGCTTCCATCAAATGCGCAACTTCATGGCCGCTTGAGGCATCCGAAGGAGTAAAGCCATCGGCCTTGGCCTGGTCGGCTGTGGCAAGCAAGCGCACAACCTGGCAGTGGCCAAACAAAGCCGCCAAGTACATAGCAGTGTGCCCCGCATCATTGCGTTTGTCCCTGCTCGCGCCAGATTCTAACAAGCATCTCACAACTTCCTCATGGTCATTCATTGAAGCGAGGTGCACGGGCGTAGTCCCAGACTTGTCGACCTTGTCCTTGTCAGCGCCGGCTGACAGCAAGCAGCGGACAACTTTCAGCTGGCCAAAGCGAGCAGCAACATGCATGGGAGAATCTCCATCCTCATCGGCCATGTCTTTGTCAGCTCCGGCTGCCAGCAAGCAGCACACAACTTTGTCATGGCCTCTGTCAGCTGCCTTTTGCACAGGTGTGCGCCCGTAGTTGTCAGTCTTGTCTTTGTCTGCCATCGCTTGCAGCAAGCATTGCACAACTTTCAGTTGGCCAAATCGCGCCCCGACATGCATCGGTGTGTCTCCATCATGGTCGTGAGACTTGTCCTTGTCAACGCCAGCTTCCAGCAAGCAATGCACCACTTCATGATGGCCATTCACCGCAGCCCAGTGGATTGGAGTATCTCCGTCATGGTCCGCCCTTTCTTTGTCAGCCCCAGCCTCCAGTAAGCAAAGAAGAACCTCTGTATGTCCCAGCCAGGCAGCAAAATGAAGAGGCCTACGGCCGCAATTGTCAGTCTTGTCCACGTGAGCACGGGCTGCCAACAAGCAATGTACGATGCTCAGATTGCCTGACCGAGCGGCAAAATGCATGGGCGTATCTCCATCATTATCAGCCTGATCCTTGTCCGCACCCGCTTCAAGCAAGCAACATGCAACTTCAACGTGACCCCGCGCAGTGGCTTCATGCAAAGCTGACATGCCATCATGGTTCGTAGCATCCGGGTCGACTGGCTTGTCCAACTGGCCCACAACCTGCGCCAGGTCCCCATTCATGGCTGCCTGCCCCAGTTGTTTGGCGACATCCTCCTCACTTGCCCAAAAAGGAAGTTCAACTTTGATGGCCGTGACTGAAACATGCTAAGAATCGGATTGAACAAAAGGTCATTGCCAGGAGATTCGAAGCTGCTTCAACTCCTATGAGGAGTCCAATTCCAAATTTGCAGCTCAGCTTCACCCTGAAACTCGTATGACCGCATCACAACCACGAGCTCGGCATTCGTCCAGCCGCTGTCTGGACCCAGCTTCTGCTGGCCGCACGCGAGCGCGAGCTGCCGGAAGTTGCGGAACCGCAGGCGCCGGGCCAGCTCGCGCCTCACCGCGTCCAGAAAACCTCACTCTCCGAAAGGGTCGGCGGATTTCCCTTGACCACGGCATGCCATGAATCAACTCGGATGATCAATATTTAGAAACCAAAAGATCAACAGGTTCATTTGCCTTGACGCGAGCCGCATGCAACGCCACTGTCCCGCAGCTCGCATACCTCATCCCACCATGCGGCAAAGTCCGCCTTGGACATAACCTCCTCCCCGGTGACACCATGGCGCACGCAGCCCATAAAAGTGTTCACCTTTGCGAACTCGTGGACAATAGGACTTTGGTAGCTATATATCCACACTGAAACGGCCCAGTGGTTGTCAAAGGCTGAATTCATGAACGTGTACGCGAGACCTTTCTATTAGTTTGTGGTGTGAATCCCTAGTCTGCACAATGAATCGTCAATTTTGGTTTGACTAAAACACACGTAGTAGCATAAGGTTGCGAAGCATCCATCCCCTGCGTTTCTATGGTGATTCCCTTCTTCCGGCAACCCGTAACAGGGGCGCACAGCCCCAATGTCTCCGCGCCGTTTCAGGCTCCCCACCCCAGCAAGCTGAACACCAAGAAGAGTGCGTCCCTCAAAGCACTGGGCTGTTCAAAAGTCGAGTGTTGACCAATCCACAACCCAGGAACACCCTGAAATTGGACATCAGGAGGTGCAGGGCTGTCTTGCTCTTGTAGCATGTTTGCCTCATGACGCTTTTCATCCTTGCTCCGGGCCAACTTGCAACTTATTCCCGTTTGCCCAAGGACCTAGGAGAAACCGTTTGTTTTTTGGGGAATGGCTAGATTGGGAAGCCGAACAGATCAAGGGGGTCCAAGATGGTCCAAGCAACGAGTTGGAGACATGGCACTTGGCAGTCGCTCCAGAAACCCTCACCAAAGACTTGCCTAGGCCTAAGCGGCCTAAGCTTGCCTGCGGCTGTCTGACGGCTTAGCTCTTAACTGTAGTGCCTCCGGAAGCCCAGGATCCGAGAAGCACCTGCTTCTTTTTTCTTTCCTGCATTTTCTTTTCAATCCGCGGCAGCGTGGCGAATGAAACTGCAGCTCGTCCGAGTTTCCAGTGCCAAACAGGCCAAGTCGAGGGCCGGAAAAGAATCCATGCCCATCCAAATCCGCATGCTAAGAAGTGCGCCTCCTTTTGATCGAAATCCCAGGCAGCACCCGGCAGTTCTCAGCCCCTCCGCCTGGGAGCAACGAATTCACCACCTCCTCATGCTTATTGAAGTGAGCTTGCTGCAAAGGCGTCACCCCACTCTTGCTGGCCTTGTGCTGATCAGCTCCAGCTTCCAGTAAGCATTCCACAGTTTTCGGCTGTCCCCGTGAGGCAGCAAGAAAAATGGGTGTTCGTCCGAAAGCGTCAAGCTTGTCCATGTCAGCACTAGCTGCAAGCAAGCAGCGAACGGTCCCTATATGGCCACGCAACGCTGCCTCGTGCATGGGGGATTTGCCGCCGCGGCCCGGCTGATTCTTGTCAGCGCCGGCGTCCAGCAAGCAACAAACAACTTCCACATGGCCTAGCCAGGCAGCAAAATGAATGGGAGCGAATTTGTCATGGTTGACCTTGTCACAAGCCGCGCCAGCCTCCACCAAGCAAAGAGCAGCACCCTGTTGGCCTTGCCAGGCCGCAAAATGCATGGGCGTATCTCCGTCATTGTCGCACTGATCCTTGTCTGCGCCAGCTTCCAGCAAGTGGCGTAGAACGTCGACCTGGCCATGGGCAGCAGCCACATGCAAGGCCGACCTGCCGGCATGGTTCTTGAAATTTGGGTCCTGGGGCCTCTCCAGGAAGCGAATCACCCGAGCCAAGTCGCCGTTGCTGGCTGCCTCCAAGACGTCCTCAAAGCCGTCGGCGTCTGCGAGTGCCCGCAGCACCACCACGTACTCAGCCTCGCGGTCCCAGCGGCTGTCCGGTCCCAGTGTGCATTGACCACAGGCGATGGCGAGCTGCCGAAAGTTGGGTACCTGGGGCGCGGGGCCCTATGCAAACTCATAACTTTGCAGTAACATATTCATAGTCCTGAACGGCGGACTTAGCAAATACCAAAGTGGCTCAAACATGCCATGTTTTGCCCCGCTCTCCTGCAGGCGCTTGGCCAGCTCGCGCCGAAGTGCATCGAAGAAACATATGCCATCCTCTGGGTCGTGCTCCCTCAACCTCTGGATGAACTCCGCTTCCGCTATTACTTCCTCGCCGCTGACTTTACGAAGACATCCCATGGATGTGATGTGGCGCACGGGCGGCAGTTTGTTTACGCACGGGGCCTTTGGTCCAACATTTGAACAACCAGCCATTTGACTGTATGTGAAGGCGCTCTAAACCCAAGCGCAGTGAATCAAGAACAAGGCTGGGCCTCGCCGGTGCAACATGTGAACCGGCCCAATTCGGTGGATTCCATTGGACCGCTTAAAGAAACACAGCAGCCCTTTCTAGAAAAAAACACCTTGAGGGAGATGGCACAGCGGCACATGGTATTGAGATGGATCACAAAACACACACACAAACACACACACAAACACAAACACAAACACAAACACAAGCACAAACACAAACACACACACACACACACACAGACACACAGATACACAGACACACAGACACACAGACACACAGACACACAGACACACACACAGACACACACAGACACACAGACACACAGACACACAGACACACAGACACACAGACACACACACACAGACACACACACAGACACACACACACAGACACACACACACAGACAGACACACAGACACAGACACAGACACACACACAGACACACACACACACAGACACACACACAGACACACACACACACAGACACACACAGACACACACACACACACAGACACACACACACAGACACACAGACACAGACACACACACACAGACACACACACACACAGACACACACACACAGACACACACACACACACACAGACACACAGACACACACACACACAGACACACACACACACACACACACACACAGACACACACACAGACACACACAGACACACACACACACACACACACACAGACACACACACACAGACACACACACAGACACACAGACACACAGACACACAGACACACACACACACAGACACACACACACACACACACACACACACACACACACACACACACACACACACACACACACACACACACACACACACACACACACACACACATCGCACATCACACGCTTCCCTGCTCGCCGCGCTGAATTCTTCTTGCGGCCAAGCAATCCCTTGTATGTTGCGTTGCCATGTGCGACTTGAAGGGATCAGCAAAGGGACTGCAGAGGGAATCTGGCATCCGCAAATGCAAGGCTTGCAACTCCAACCTTCTTTCGCCACGTCACATCCTTTGCCCAGGAGCTAGCCCCCCGAATGCCCCGATACTGTACAATTCTTCAGGCATTCATGTGCCCCAGCAGGCGACGCAAAGCTTCGTTGTAGAAGACCAGCCTTAGCAAAATCAGCAAATCCGATCCCGCCGAACAGCTACAGGACATATTTAGTGAACAAGGCTCACCTTTTTCATTTGAACATCTAAGTAATGTGCAAACAGAAGAAACAGGCCTAAGACGTATCCTTAACAGCGCCTCCGGTTTATGGCACAACTTTTAGTGGGAAGTTGACCTCGAACAACACGGCATGACACGCATGCCTCCTTGTTTGATCATTTTGCGGCAGGGTGTCAAGTGGAACAACGCGGAAAAATGCTGCCACTTGAAAACTGTGCGACTGAAGGGGTGTGTCTCCACAAGTGTCGACCTTGTTCTTGTCAGCCCTTGCAGCAAGCAAGGAACGCACCGCTTCCTCACGGTCTTTTGAGGCAGCAACATGCAAAGGAGTACGCCCACTTTTGTCTGGCTTGTCCTTCTCGGCCCCCGAATCCAGCAAGCAACGCAGGACCTCTAGATTTCCCTGCCAGGCAGCAACATGCAAAGGCGCACGGCCGTCAATGTCAGCTTTGTCAGTCGCAGCACTTGCATGCAGCAAGCAACGCACCACGCCTGTATGACCATCTCTGGTCGCCACATAGAGCGGCGTGAACCCGCCAATCCTGGCCTTGTCCTTCTCGGCGCCAGCTTCCAGCAAGCAGCGTACAACTTCATGGTGACCGTTTTTGGCGGCATCGTGCATGGGTGTATGCCTGCTACGCGTGTCTGCTCTGTCCTTGTCAGCGCCGGAGTCCAGCAAGCAATGGACAACTTCCACATGGCCCCGCTCTGCTGCCACGTGCAGAGCTGATCTTCCCACATCATCAGTGGTGTTGGGGTCCATGGGCTCCTCCAAGAGGCTCGTAACACTCCCAGCGTCACCAGTAAAAGCCGCCTACGTCGAAAGGTTGACGCCAAAAACGAACAACCAAGACAACCATGATTGATGAAAAGCGGAAAACAAACAACTCAATGTCATTGCCCTTCAATAACCAGATGGAAGGTAGCACGATTGGAACACAGTGCTATTCTTGTTGCTTCACACTTTTAGCCGGTAAGTCATAGTCTTTCCCCGGTTGGACTCCCCTGAGCCAGTTGCCTCCCACAGCTCGGCCAGCTCGTGTTCGGGTGCGTCGGTATACGGCCGCGCCAGCACCACCAGCTCTGCGTTTAGCCACGGGCTTGCAGGGCCCAGCCTGGGAATGACATGACCCGTGTGAATTCTGTGATTTTACGGGGGTCCGGTGGGGCCTGTTGACAAGTTCAAGGCTCTAACAACTTCTTTGGCAGCTTCTCTTATGGCTCGAATGCAGGGGTGGTCGATTTGCCACCAAGGAAACCAAACTTCCACCAATGCCGCAGCACCCAAAACAAGGGCCCTTGAAAAGGAAGAGTTCCAGTCAGGTTCTATTTCGAACAGGGGAAAGCGACCACATCACCCAATTGCCTATTGCTAGGCAGTGGAAGAAAAAGGGATCCTTGCTTGGATAATTCTGTGGGGAGCCCATCAAATAAAAAGGAATGGCTGCAATCCACTGAACAACTGGGATGGAGTACCAGAAAAAATCCGCATCCGGAGGGGTGCCTTCTGGGGGGGGGGCGTCCGAAGAAATCCGAGTGGAAGGTTGACAAGAAGTTGATCCTTTCTGGCCGATCGAAAGGCAGCAACACATGACACCGAACCATGACCCAGGGCGCGTGGGAGGGAAGTTGGAAGTTCCACTTTGGGAATCTCCGGGTTGACTCCCAGGAGTGACTCCCAAGTGATTAAGACCTCAAGCCATGCTAAATTTGCTAGTGACCGCATTGCTTCCCCTAACCAGCCTAGGTCTACGAAACAGGCAATCATCTGTAAACATACCTGTAGTCTCTGTTCAGCGGACTTTAAGAAGGTCATGATCGTCCGTTTGCTTCCCTGACAAACTGCACCACACAATGACATAGGAGATTCCCCTTGCTGCCTTGCAATACTGAAGCTGCCCCTATAGATGCCGGACAATGTTGAAAGCCCAATGCCCCCAGTGCTTGGGGATTTTCTGGTCTGTCCGACTCGTTTGGAGCTCCTCTGCTCGCCACAGGCGACCGCCAGCTGCCGGAAGTTCCGCAGCTGCAAGCGCCCCGCCACTTCCCGGCGCAGCGCGTCCAGGAAGGTGGCCGCGCCCTCGCAAGCGCCTTACGCGCGGAGGGGCTTGGGCTCTCTCCAGCGTTGCTTCGACACATTCGAAAGGCGTGGAAAAGGGACACCTTGAATCACCTTGAGGTCAGCATGCGGCTTGGAAGTGCCTTGCGGCTTTTTCCTTAAGTTGCGCATGTCGGTGATGCCGTACACTTTGAGTATCCCAAGAGGGCTCCAGGGAAGATGCCTCCTGCCCAGGGTTCCGATTAGAAGGACTCTCCACAAATGCGCCCCCGTTGCAATGTTACCCGTCAACGAAAATGCAGTGGCAACTCTAATTGAGCAAACAACAGGGATAGCCATGATTCGTAGAATTATCACATGATCAGTTCAAAGGAAGTCTGTCAAAAGAGGAAAACATGGGTACTACTGCACACGTGGGTTCCCTCTCGCAGCAAACGGCGCTGCTCCCACCACGTCGCGAACTCATCTTCGGGCAACACCTCCTCACCAGTGACCCCATGGCGAACTCTCCCCATCAACGCGGGGGGGATTGGCGGACCTTGAGCCAAAGTCAGTTGGATGAGTCCGACATTCCTTTGAATGCCCGATGTTCTCACCATCAACCACTAGGGGACTACCCAAAACCGATGCCCATCGACCTTCACAACCAATGGGGGCTTATCAGCAACAACCGATACGCCTGGCCGAGATATTGCACAAAACACTTGTATACCGCACGTCGCATTGCAAGCAGGAACTTCTGTGACAAGCAAAGGGCATCAACCAGTTGGCTGCAACTGGCAAGAACCTGGAGGCCATGCGTAAATCAGGTGCGACAAGCAACTTTCCAGCTCCAAACAGGCACTACTTTCAAAGGATGCTGACATGACAACAAAATCTGAACTGAAGCACCCAAAGTGTCAGATCAGTTTTCCGGCTGGCCGTGGCTCCAGAAGTGCCAAATAAGTGGAACGATGCCCCGCTGGGTTTACAAACGGCCAGGTGGCCGCAGTGGGTGTCAGTAAGAATCACCATGTCGGCCTTCGAAGTCGCTCGAAGTCAAAAACAAAGCCCCTATAAGTCTTCCAATCAGCGTCACGTGTGGACTTACCAAGTGCTGCTTTGAAACATATTCCCTCTTTTCGCCCCCATGAGACACAACTCCACCAAGTTGGCACGATGTCTTTTGTTTGCCCCACCCTGTGACGTTGCCACAAACTATGAGCCTCAATGGGAACAACCTCGGTGCTGGGCTTGCAAAACAGCTTGGGCGAAAACGGCAAAACACATTTCAGCACTTGCGGTGAAACCAAGCGTGTCCTCGTCTGCAAAGCCATCAGTATGTTTCAAGACACAGGCTAGAGCTACACAGTTTGGCTGCGAAGCCATGCTGACCTGCCTTTGGGACCGACCACGTGTCATGCCTGCCAACAGTTTGAACTTCTGCCACCCTCCCCACGCCCGCCTCGCAAGTTCCGGGCGGGAGGGAGAGTGGGTCTAAAATTGAAATACGAAGCAGCACTCTGAACAAATCAAGTAAAACCCACTAAGATCCACTAAGCAAATGCTCATGGAGCGAAACAGGAACGGCTATCAGTGGGCAACCCACATGATAGCAAGATGACACAAACAGGTATGTGATTTGAATGCGGGCTTGAACCTGGCTGAAAGAATGCCGGTCATCGCTGTCAGGATTCTGATTTGAGTTGATCCCGACTTTCAACCGTCAGGGCAACTGTCGTCCAGAACATGAAGAATCAAGGAAAGCGCGTTTCGCCAAACTAAAGCGTGTAGCTCAAACAGATTCCGCTGCTGAATACTCCACGAGGTCATCTAGAATGCGAGGAGACAGAAATAATACCACCTTCAAAGTCCTTCAAGCTTAATACCCAACATGTGTGCTCGGGGACCTCCACTGTCCTCTCCTAAGTGTTTAAACTAGCTTTGCTTCACGTGAGTTGGCGTGTTGGTTGGAGGTTTGGGAGTTGAGGATGGATGTTTCGCATGGCAGATAACTTGTTTGGGGTGTGTTGTTTTTGTTGGTTTGGCTCTTCGCCGTCCGTGGCCAATACAAGTTAAGTCCAAGCCCAAAAAACCTGTGTCTATCTCAGTTTATGTGTATAGTTCAGTCAAGCCTCAAAGGCACTGACAGCCTGCACACGCACTCTTCTCCACCACACATAAGGGCCCAGGTGGCTCAAACGGTAATCTATGGACCTCTTCTTTGCCTGGAACCTCCCGGGACTTTTTGCTCCTCCTCCCCTCAAAGCATCAAGGGGCACAAAAAAAGAGGACCATTTTCGGGCGTGGATGCCGTATGGTGCCGTTTCCACGTTGCTTGCGCCGCAATGGGGCTCAATGGCCGAAAGGCACCCGATCCCGCGAGCCTCGCGGGATGCCCGCTTTCCAAAGCGCGGGACCTCAGGGTTTCTTGGGCTTCAAACGCAGTCCCAATTTAGGGAACGAACAAAACGCACACTCTTGGCACCATATTTTTTTGTCAAACACTCAGTTGTGAAAAGCTCGGGAAAAGAGGCAAGGCTACGGGCATGGGCGCTGGCTTTTTGTTGCTGCCTTTTGCGCACCCTTCATAACCAAATCAAAGGTCATGAGCCATGCATAGCGAGTGCAAAGCAAGCCCGGTGAAATGCGCGTCTGTTCCGGCATTCAAGGTTGGTCCCTCAAGCAATTGAGACCATCTCGGGAACTTTTGGACTGAGCTTTTGTGGAGCGTTTCGGCCCATGCCGAAGGCTCGCTTCGGCAACACTCAAAACATCTACGCTGGGCCAAGCTTTTCCCTTCGCAGCAGTTCTGGTGAAATTTAGGATGGGCGGAGATGCATGAGCAACTCCACGTTGAAACAACCAGAATCTCCATGCAAGACCAAAAGCAATCCAACTTTCTGGCTTGCATAGTTCCGTAAGAAACATATTCTGATTCAGTCTGATCATCACTTGCATGGATCTGGCTGTAAAAGTGAATAGCACTCAAAAGGCAAGTGGTGGGATGGCCACCCCCGTGGTGGTCGGGGCAGGCCGTCACCCGCCTACAATCGCAGAGCCGAATCAGCTCAATGCGCATTACTTATTTCAGTGATTCAGTGCAGCTGCAGCTGCGAGCCCAAAGCGACTCGGACGGAATCCTCAAGTGAACTGGCAAATCGTTCTAATCCTTGCACTGTTCAACAAAACTGACATTATTTTGCTGAAACAAAGCCCGGTTTCCATCAGATTTGGTCGGCTGGCCTCTTCTGGGATTTGGCAAAGGATTGCTGGCTCCTCTGGGATTTGGCCCCTCTCATTGTCTAAGGCTGAGAAGCACCAAGGGCCAAGGAAGAAGGAAGCACCCAATCGTCGTAGCGTCTATGAAGCTCCCCAAGTGAAATGGGTAAGCTTGCCGTTTCCAAAGAGGAGGCGTGTCGTATCGGTAAAATTTGACCCGAGCCGTGCTAATTTTGCCTGAATTGGGGAATTTGTCTCCTTGGCCACCGACTTGACGTACACCACAGGAAGTGAGGCTGGCCAGCGATTGTCCTTTGCCCTTCCTACACATTGGTCTCCGCCAGGCTTCTATGGGTGGGGCGGCCGTCCAAAGAATCAAATATAGACAAGAGGTCCTCTTCAAGAGAACTGCTTTCAAGACACGTCCCACTCTCATGATTCTGTGGGAAAAGGGTACACCACTTTGCCCCACCCCGGCGCGGCTGCACTGATGCAAAAAACAATGGCTTGCCTACATATGTCATCCGAGCAAACAACGCACACGTCCGACACTTCAAACCTATAGCCCCATGATAGATAGAAATTGATAGAAATTATACAAACAACAAAAAATGGTCACCATGACGTACGCATGGAAATGCCTATTGGAAGACTCCCAATTGGACAGCTTCCCCATGTTGCTTCTTGCCAATGAGCAGTCCAAAAATGGAGTCTTTCCTTGAGGCGACCACTGGGCCGACAATGAGCACGCTCACACGCCCCGCTCACTGCACCTTCCGAAATTTGGCCATGCGGCCTCACCGGCTTCCTCTGACAGGAATTCGTTCATGAGGGTCTTGGCCTGGACGTGTTATGGACCACAGCCGAAACAAACGTGCAATCGATGCCCTCGGGCGTTGCTGCAGGTTATCCATGGATCAAAGGTGGCAACGAGGTGGCAAAAGCCTTCTTTCCTTCCTGCGCTGGCTAAAGGGCTGGATCAACTCCAATTGAGTATTGCAGGAGCCAACGGGGAGCAAACGTCTTGGCTCAAAGCCTGCATTCGCGATGCACATTGAACGAATTGCGCGAGAGCAGCCTTCCTGTGGGTTTCCTTTCACGGAACCGACTAGCACGGTGCCAAGTGGGTGGCGTCACCTTGGGCCACAGTTTGGAGCTCCGTTAACACTCCACAAGTTGCCAAGGCCACACTTCGAATTTGATTTGGTGCAGCTCAGCGCCCCGGGGCTAAATAAGCGACCCAAACATAAACGAGGCATGTACCGCATTGCGCCGCAGGACAAGGCCTCAATCCGAAAGTACATCCCAAACCTTATGGGTTCACCGGTTCACCTTGTGCGCACTGAGGTGGGCGAGGCGGACAAGCTACCAATCCAAGGGAGAATCGGGAAGCTGCATAAATCAATCCAACGCGAGTTGGGGGGGTCCGTGTCCGAGAAGTGAAAGGCTCCACTGAAACTCAACGAGCAACATCGGCCATCGTGGGCGGCTTCAAATTCAGAAGCTGCAAGCATCTGTGGCCTGCGCCACATCCAGTGCGTTTGTGCTCCAAGGTTCAGAATAGCTTGTATATATACACAAAATTTATATGTATATGGATACATGCATATGTTCATACATATGCAGACACATCTGCGGCTATGAACAGGGGATGGCATGCCTACTCGGTGTACATAGCAAGGCTCACAACCAATCAGACGCTGCGCGCAAAGGAAGGAAATGCCTAGCCAAATGGGGCGGATGCCAAACTTAGAGGTCTCCTGTGCGGCACCATCCAAAAAAGGAATATACTTGCGTCAACGCCCCCCTGATGTTGGCAAATGTGGCTTTTAACATCTTTTAACCGTTTTAACTTGCCCGATGTGTCCTTAGGAACTGTAGAAAGCGGCCTTGCACGCCGGGAGGCGCACTCTTGCGCATTGAAGTCGCACACGGTCTCGGGCTCAGCCAAGTCCTTGATCTTTGGCCAACGCCCGTCTAAGGCCACCTGACGCCCGGGAGACGGCACGCGCGGGACGGAGGTGGTTACGGGACCGAAAACTGCTGGAATCAAACCAGGGGAGCGGTGGCGCTTGGAGATAAGCCTCAAAGCTAGCCGCTTGGAACGGCCTTGAAACAAAAGTGGAGGCTCTCTTTTGTGACGGCAATTGGCGGAAGGTTGCGCATCGGCAACCTCATGGCAAGGCAGTTGCAAGCGCAACATGGACCAAACGATCTCGGTGGATGCGTAAGCGTTTTTGCGCCTTAGAAGCAGCCCCGAGAATCCGCACCAGCACCCGACGTGCATCAATGGAACGTCTCAACTTGCGAATGCCTAGGCAAAATAATAGAAACGTATTGTGTCTGGCGTACGGTGTATGTAGTTGTGCAGAAATAGCGGCTGGAACGATTGAGATCCGATGCAGCTAGGATCTATAGGATCCCTATAGGGGCGTCACTTTCAGCTGGATGTGGGCGTGGCTCAAATTACAGAGCTAGAGTTGCGCAGTTTGAAGTTTTTTGTCATTTACCAAGGTGCCATTTTGGTATATCTTCTTAGCCACAGCAATGTGTGTTCTCAAGCATCTCCAGAAAGAAGCTTCAGCTGCTTCAAGCGGCAAAGGAAACCAATCCGCACAGGCTTTGAAAGGCCCTCGTGGCATTTATGGGAGTGTCTTCACCCAAACACAAACAAACACAACAATTGTGGCTTTACAGTTGGTTTCCCTTTAGCATCAGAACAGAGTACCCTCCAAAAAGACATGCCATCCCTTGCCTGCCTGAAGACGAAAGGGGCCCAAGTTCAAGCCCTGGAGCCACACGAGGCCGACAATGGTCTTTGGGTCCGCCACCTGGCGGGTCACTTGAAACTTGGCTTCGGCATGCTTCGGCACTCTTGGTTTATCTGTGTTGAACCAAGTCGACCAAATCTGCTGCGATTTGGAGAGGTCTCCGGAAGCAATGTGAATCCTAAGGACCTGGCCAGGAAGGATACTAGTTGAGATAGCCCCGGTGCGCGAAATGGGGGAACATCCGCAGCTGTTCAGTTTTCAACACAAACTTCACATCGGCCTTAGCATGCCTCCCTCTGCCTCCAGCGCCACCTCCTCCTCCGAGATGCGTGTGAGCGATTGCACCCCCACCTGCGCCAGCCAGCCCAGGAGCTCCTGATCGCACAGCGGAACCACCGGCTTCAGGTGCACCATGCGGGGCGCGGTCTTCTGAGCCACCCCCAGGAACGACGAACTGGGACGGCGCGGCATCGGCATCTAGCGATTTGGGTACAGGTGCCCCTGGCGCGCTTGAACAGAAACTTGCGACTCAAAGACCAAAGCTCTTTTTGCACGAGGAAAGCTCGGAAAACGCCTCGGAGCATATTCTTCCGAGCCCCAGTCACGCCTGGCCAAAGATCTGACAAACCAAGTAGCCACATAGTTGCGGAACACAGGCGTTTTTGTGAAGACGGCCATCGCTCCAACTTTGCCACATTGAAGTTAAAGCGCTTACCTCGCCCACAGAGAAAGCCCTGAAAAACCAATCTTGCACAACGCAAAGATCACACTGGTCCAAACTTCCTTGTGGGCCATGAAGGAGATGATTCCCCCTACCAACCTGCAGGCAGTTTGGACCATGGACCATGTGGAGTTGCATCGGGTTCGAGGCCGCGGCCACCAATGGACGTTCTGCTCATTGATGGCGATGACCACGATGTGCCCTCCCACAATCACATGTGGAAGTGCAAAGACAGCCTTTACAAGACGATTTACATCAGATCTAGCACCCTTGAAAGCAAATAGGGACATGTTAACCAAACCTGGGGATGGGTAAGCCTGGGGATGGGTTGATAAGCGCAAACAACAGGAAGCCAACTATTTCCGGGGCTTTCCCGAACTTCTCTGGCCCAACACCCCTCCAATTAGGGCATACGTCATAATCCAAACCTAGTATATACTTTGTGCGGGGTCTACCCAAAACCCGTGGTAAAGAATCAGGCCCTGACTGGTTCACTGACCCGTGCCCTGATGTGACGTGAGGGACCGGGTCACCAATCCCATTTTCCCAAGCCCCGCTGCCTCCTCTGCACTTCCCATCCACTTTCTGATTGACGACCTTCACCTGTCTTCTAGCAAAGTGGCGATTGCCAACGGTCAGAAAGGCAGGAGGACATGACCTAGAAACAGGGTATGGATGGGAGGCTGCCCTAAATTTCCAAAAAGGCATACTTCACCAAAAGAATGTACGTGATACAGTGTTCATGGAGGACCCCCTTCACGAAATGAAGCCAAGCAAATCCTGAGCAACGGGCACGCGTGGGCACACTCTGACTCAAGCTCAAGCGAAAAGGGAAAAGAGGATATCAAATAACGCGGCTCGTGGTGTAACATTTTGTAGCTACAGGGCTGCCGCGGTTTCCGTCATTTTGTCACCGCATTCATGCGATATGGACATTGGAGAAAAACACACAGCCAAGGTAGTGGGGATATACCTTATCAAAAGGGCTACCATCACTATCAACAGTCCGAGATTCTAAGCTGGGAACAGCCCAGCTTTGCAGATGCAATGGCAGGATGGTCGCATACGTGGCGCGGCGCAGGCGCAGTTGCCAAGGGCCGCAAAGCTGCAACCAAGAATGCGTCCTGCAGTGGAACGTGTGTGCCAGGATCTGAATTCTTGGTTGCTGGTCAAGCAAAACCCTTGTGTGGCTGAGGATTCGGAAGTGCGCTTCTTTCGCGCTAAAGCCGTGATCTGGCTCGGGCGCCTGAGTTCCGAGGTGTTGAGAGGCAAAGGCCTGATGCTCTGGATGATTGGTTTGAGAAGCCACTCTTGGAGCTGATCACGAAGTAGCTTGTTCTGGCGAGGCCGTCGGCCATCATGATGTGCGTTGGTATCCAGCGCGTCCTCCTCTGGCTTACGTACTCCTGAATGGACTTGACGTTCACCAGGCTGCGCTTGTCCTGCAAAGAAGGGTTGGCTGACACGACCGTGTCATAGAGCGATATGTCGCCAACCTGATGCGCAGGGATGTCGAGGATGATCTTTCCTAGGAAGTGGTTCGCGAAGCTGCCGCGGTCAGTGGCGACGTCAGCCGCAATGGCCTTGGCTGCCAGTGTTGACCTGCAGACTCTTTGCAGACCGGCATGACTTCCAGTCAATGAGTGCGCCAATCCGTGCTGTGAGGAGGTGTCCAAAACATGAGTCACTGTAGGCGACGATGTGGGTTGTGCGGTCGAAGTTGATTTCGGAGATGGTGATGCCATCCGTCGGTAGGTCTTAAAAAAGTCGGCCACGTCATACGAGGTCATGCAGGTCCCAGTAGGTCGTCTGTCGTCCCTTTGCCGCAAGGCTGCTGGTGGCTGCTGCTTCTGCATTCTCTGTGTCCCCCACGTCCCCATCGTCGGGAACGAACTCGTCTTCTGCACCTCCTGAGCGTTGCAATGGTGTCCAGGGGCTGCTGCGACTCCTTGGCCATGGTCGATGACGACGCGGTCTAGAACCGAAGGTCCAGCCACCTTTGTGTGATTTGTTCGGAGATCTGTTGGTAGTGGATTGATTGATGAAGCTGCTGTCCATCCCGTGCGGCGTCGCCAAAGTCCAGCTCATCCTGACTGGCAATCAGCACCAGTCTCTGCATCTTGAACGAGCTCTATCCAATAGCCGCGTCGCCTGGGCGTCGCCATCGTAAATGGCGTCCACGCCCTCTCACATCGGCGCCGATTCACGAGCCCCGCATCGTCCCCCGCTGCGGCGTACAGTGGACTCAAAGTCTGCCAACAGCTTCCTCTTCTGGTAGATGACCTTGCTCTGCCAACCCTTGGTCAAAACCTCGATGATGCACTCGGTCCCGTTGGTGGAGTTGACCTTCTGCAAGTCCAGATGCTCGGCCTCCTCCTCTCTCTGTAGCGAGGTGTACTGCATCATCGCTGCTTCGCTTTGCGGCATGAAGGCAGCGATCTGGAGCTTCCACTGTTCCACCTTGCGAAGACACTTGGGGAATGCTCTCACGTCCTCCCGGAAGTAGCGCCACCGAAGTGGTGGAGGAGCTCGGCTCAATCTAGAAGTCGATGGTCCCGGGGCACGATGCCCTGAGCCCAGTCCTGCCTAGGGACATACATCCACGTCAGCTCTGTAGTACTCCGTGCCCCTACCAGCGGCGCGCCGTGCCATCCGCAACCGTATTCTCTGAACGATCTCCTTGGAGTTAAGCGCCAGCCGGGGGCCCTGGTTCTCAAACGCTCCATCAGCCACTTCGCCGATGAGGTCCATGTCGTCATCCCAGAGGTCGCCGCCGAAGGGCAAGTCCTGCGAGAGACCATCCTCATCCAAAGCGGCTGTGGCTGGATGCCCGACTTTGCTACCAACGCACAAACCCCCGTGCGCTCTTTTTGCGGATCTGGCTCGGGCGCCTGATGTTGCGGCGATGAGGTGAGATGCAAAGGCCTGATGCGCGTGCAGGGCCAAAATCCACAGCTGGAACCTGGCGGGACATTCCATGCTAGGGTTGGACCTCAAAACCCACATGTGGTTATGGTTGAACTTCCCAGTTGCAAGAAAAGAGGCAAATGCCAACTCAGTACATGAGGAAATGGATCCGAGAGCTTGAATTGGCCACGGCCACAAGCAGGCTTGAAGTGTGAATGGCAGTTAAATCCGCAGCCGGTCATGAGATTCTGTTGCATGCTTTTTTTTGGGGGGGTACGAAGTCGCAACACAAGTCAGAACGCGGCCGGGCCAGTCTGCACCATGCGTTTGAATGAGGGGCAAACATATCAGCTGATCAGTCTAATAGTGAGCTGTACCGACTGTTTGTTCCGAGTTCCGATTAGTCTGCAGTCGTAGCAAACAAAGACCCGGATCTGGGCCTTGCGCTTGATTTTGCGGAGCCCGACCGTGCCGCTCAGCAAAGAGGGGCCAACCCACAAAGGGTAGAGTTTGACACTTAGAGGAATGAGTTGATCAGGCCTAGTCACCCTAGTCCACTGCAAGTAGCCAGCGCTTCGAGTCAAGCAAGTCAAGACGTAACCTTGTGCAACACATGCCGGTCTCCCTCCAGAATATGCCGATTGACCCTCTTGGCGGATGCAATGCAGGGCCCAAGAATCTGTGGGCGTCCGCGTGTTTCCCCAATAGATCTGTTATCATGCCCAAAGAAAGATCATCGCCAACATCTGCGGATTGTACGGTGTCCAACTTGTTTGCCGACACCAAGGACGCCACTTCAAGCTGCAAGGCCATCAACTGGAACGCTTGTGGGTTGAAAGGTCGCCTTGCTCAAGTATGTGTGCGAAAGCAAATTGTGGTTTGCAGCCATCCCCTCCAACCATGAACCCAAAAAGGTACACCCAACAGAATGCATTGCAAACATAGTGAGGCTAAGGGGTCAACTAGGCGCAGGGTCCCATCGCCAAGGTTGTCCTTCGGCTCATGCGCCGCTGGGTTCCCTCAAATCACACTCTGATCAATTTATGGGTGATCAACCTCTCCAAACACAACAAGCCACAACCAAGAACTTAACATGGGCAAACAAAACTGGACAACCCAAACCAATAAAAGACAAGACTTGCCATGAAACCGAAACAGACACGTCCGCCTGGACCTGAAGCGGAGGCACTCGTTGAGGGCAGCAAAGTGGCATCCTAAACGTATCCTTCCAAAGTCATATCCTCAAAAAGAAACCATTTCGAGCTAAACGGATTCAAGGTTGGTCCCTCAAGCAATTGAGACCATCTCGGGAACTTTTGGACTGAGCTTTTGTGGAGCGTTTCGGCCCATGCCGAAGGCTCGCTTCGGCAACACTCAAAACATCTACGCTGGGCCAAGCTTTTCTCTTCGCAGCAGTTCTGGTGAAATTTAGGATGGGCGGAGATGCATGAGCAACTCCACGTTGAAACAACCAGAATCTCCATGCAAGACCAAAAGCAATCCAACTTTCTGGCTTGCATAGTTCCGTAAGAAACATATTCTGATTCAGTCTGATCATCACTTGCATGGATCTGGCTGTAAAAGTGAATAGCACTCAAAAGGCAAGTGGTGGGATGGCCCCCCCCGTGGTGGTCGGGGCAGGCCGTCACCCGCCTACAATCGCAGAGCCGAATCAGCTCAATGCGCATTACTTATTTCAGTGATTCAGTGCAGCTGCAGCTGCGAGCTCAAAGCGACTCGGACGGAATCCTCAAGTGAACTGGCAAATCGTTCTAATCCTTGCACTGTTCAACAAAACTGACATTATTTTGCTGAAACAAAGCCCGGTTTCCATCAGATTTGGTCGGCTGGCCTCTTCTGGGATTTGGCAAAGGATTGCTGGCTCCTCTGGGATTTGGCCCCTCTCATTGTCTAAGGCTGAGAAGCACCAAGGGCAAAGGAAGAAGGAAGCACCCAATCGTCGTAGCGTCTATGAAGCTCCCCAAGTGAAATGGGTAAGCTTGCCGTTTCCAAAGAGGAGGCGTGTCGTATCGGTAAAATTTGACCCGAGCCGTGCTAATGTTGCCTGAATTGGGGAATTTGTCTCCAGTGAATTTGAGAAAGCCTCCCCGGCGTGTATATTTCTTGGCCACCGACTTGACGTACACCACAGGAAGTGAGGCTGGCCAGCGATTGTCCTTTGCCCTTCCTACACATTGGTCTCCGCCAGGCTTCTATGGGTGGGGCGGCCGTCCAAAGAATCAAATATAGACAAGAGGTCCTCTTCAAGAGAACTGCTTTCAAGACACGTCCCACTCTCATGATTCTGTGGGAAAAGGGTACACCACTTTGCCCCACCCCGGCGCGGCTGCACTGATGCAAAAAACAATGGCTTGCCTACATATGTCATCCGAGCAAACAACGCACACGTCCGACACTTCAAACCTATAGCCCCATGATAGATAGAAATTGATAGAACTTATACAAACAACAACACAATGGTCACCATGACGTACGCATGGAAATGCCTATTGGAAGACTCCCAATTGGACAGCTTCCCCATGTTGCTTCTTGCCAATGAGCAGTCCAAAAATGGAGTCTTTCCTTGAGGCGACCACTGGGCCGACAATGAGCACGCTCACACGCCCCGCTCACTGCACCTTCCGAAATTTGGCCATGCGGCCTCACCGGCTTCCTCTGACAGGAATTCGTTCATGAGGGTCTTGGCCTGGACGTGTTATGGACCACAGCCGAAACAAACGTGCAATCGATGCCCTCGGGCGTTGCTGCAGGTTATCCATGGATCAAAGGTGGCAACGAGGTGGCAAAAGCCTTCTTTCCTTCCTGCGCTGGCTAAAGGGCTGGATCAACTCCAATTGAGTATTGCAGGAGCCAACGGGGAGCAAACGTCTTGGCTCAAAGCCTGCATTCGCGATGCACATTGAACGAATTGCGCGAGAGCAGCCTTCCTGTGGGTTTCCTTTCGCGGAACCGACTAGCACGGTGCCAAGTGGGTGGCGTCACCTTGGGCCACAGTTTGGAGCTCCGTTAACACTCCACAAGTTGCCAAGGCCACACTTCGAATTTGATTTGGTGCAGCTCAGCGCCCCGGGGCTAAATAAGCGACCCAAACATAAACGAGGCATGTACCGCATTGCGCCGCAGGACAAGGCCTCAATCCGAAAGTACATCCCAAACCTTATGGGTTCACCGGTTCACCTTGTGCGCACTGAGGTGGGCGAGGCGGACAAGCTACCAATCCAAGGGAGAATCGGGAAGCTGCATAAATCAATCCAACGCGAGTTGGGGGGGTCCGTGTCCGAGAAGTGAAAGGCTCCACTTAAACTCAACGAGCAACATCGGCCATCGTGGGCGGCTTCAAATTCAGAAGCTGCAAGCATCTGCGGCCTGCCTGCGCCACATCCAGTGCGTTTGTGCTCCAAGGTTCAGAATAGCTTGTATATATACACAAAAATTATATGTATATGGATACATGCATATGTTCATACATATGCAGACACATCTGCGGCTATGAACAGGGGATGGCATGCCTACTCGGTGTACATAGCAAGGCTCACAACCAATCAGACGCTGCGCGCAAAGGAAGCAAATGCCTAGCCAAATGGGGCGGATGCCAAACTTAGAGGTCTCCTGTGCGAAAAAGGAATATACTTGCGTCAACGCCCCCCTGATGTTGGCAAATGTGGCTTTTAACATCTTTTAACCGTTGTAACTGGCCCGATGTGTCCCCAGGAACTGTAGAAAGCGGCCTTGCACGCCGGGAGGCGCACTCTTGCGCATTGAAGTCGCACACGGTCTCGGGCTCAGCCAAGTCCTTGATCTTTGGCCAACGCCCGTCTAAGGCCACCTGACGCCCGGGAGACGGCACGCGTGGGACGGAGGTGGTTACGGGACCGAAAACTGCTGGAATCAAACCAGGGGAGCGGTGGCGCTTGGAGATAAGCCTCAAAGCCAGCCGCTTGGAACGGCCTTGAAATAAAAGTGGAGGCTCTCTTTTGTGACGGCAATTGGCGGAAGGTTGCGCATCGGCAACCTCATGGCAAGGCAGTTGCAAGCCCAACATGGACCAAACGATCTCGGTGGATGCGTAAGCGTTTTTGCGCCTTAGAAGCAGCCCCGAGAATCCGCACAGCACCACGCGCATCAATGGAACGTGTCAACTTGCGAATGGCTAGGCAAAAGAATTCAAACGTATTGTGTCTGGCATACGGTGTATGTAGTTGTGCAGAAATAGGGGCTGGAACGATTGAGATCCGATGCAGCTAGGATCTAGGATCCCTATAGGGGCGTCACTTTCAGCTGGATGTGGGCGTGGCTCAAATTACAGAGCTAGAGTTGCGCAGTTTGAAGTTTTTTGTCATTTACCAAGGTGCCATTTTGGTATATCTTCTTAGCCACAGCAATGTGTGTTCTCAAGCATCTCCAGAAAGAAGCTTCAGCTGCTTCAAGCGGCAAAGGAAACCAATCCGCACAGGCTTTGAAAGGCCCTCGTGGCATTTATGGGAGTGTCTTCCCCCAAACACAAACAAACACAACAATTGTGGCTTTACAGTTGGTTTCCCTTTAGCATCAGAACAGAGTACCCTCCAAAAAGACATGCCATCCCTTGCCTGCCTGAAGACGAAAGGGGCCCAAGTTCAAGCCCTGGAGCCACACGAGGCCGACAATGGTCTTTGGGTCCGCCACCTGGCGGGTCACTTGAAACTTGGCTTCGGCATGCTTCGGCACTCTTGGTTTATCTGTGTTGAACCAAGTCGACCAAATCTGCTGCGATTTGGAGAGGTCTCCGGAAGCAATGTGAATCCTAAGGACCTGGCCAGGAAGGACACTAGTTGAGATAGCCCCGGTGCGCGAAATGGGGGAACATCCGCAGCTGTTCAATTTTCAACACAAACTTCACATCGGCCTTAGCATGCCTCCCTCTGCCTCCAGCGCCACCTCCTCCTCCGAGATGCGTGTGAGCGATTGCACTCCCACCTGCGCCAGCCAGCCCAGGAGCTCCTGATCGCACAGCGGAACCACCGGCTTCAGGTGCACCATGCGGGGCGCGGTCATCTGAGCCACCCCCAGGAACGACGAACTGGGACGGCGCGGCATCGGCATCTAGCGATTTGGGTACAGGTGCCCCTGGCGCGCTTGAACAGAAACTTGCGACTCAAAGACCAAAGCTCTTTTTGCACGAGGAAAGCTCGGAAAACGCCTCGGAGCATATTCTTCCGAGCCCCAGTCACGCTTGGCCAAAGTTCTGACAAACCAAGTAGCCACATAGTTGCGGAACATAGGCGTTTCTGTGAAGACGGCCATCGCTCCAACTTTGCCACTTTGAAGTTAAAGCTCTTACCTCGCCCACAGAGAAAGCCCTGAAAAACCAATCTTGCACAACGCAAGGATCACACTGGTCCAAACTTCCTTGTGGGCCATGAAGGAGATGATTCCCCCTACCAACCTGCAGGCAGTTTGGACCATGGACCATGTGGAGTTGCATCGGGTTCGAGGCCGCGGCCACCAATGGACGTTCTGCTCATTGATGGCGATGACCACGATGTGCCCTCCCACAATCACATGTGGAAGTGCAAAGACAGCCTTTACAAGACGATTTACATCAGATCTAGCACCCTTGAAAGCAAATAGGGACATGTTAACCAAACCTGGGGATGGGTAAGCCTGGGGATGGGTTGATAAGCGCAAACAACAGGAAGCCAACTATTTCCGGGGCTTTCCCGAACTTCTCTGGCCCAACACCCCTCCAATTAGGGCATACGTCATAATCCAAACCTAGTATATACTTTGTGCGAGGTCTACCCAAAACCCGTGGTAAAGAATCAGGCCCTGACTGGTTCACTGACCCGTGCTCACCAATCCCATTTTCCCAGGCCCCGCTGCCTCCTCTGCACTTCCCACCCACTTTCTGATTGACGACCTTCACCTGTCTTCTAGCAAAGTGGCGATTGCCAACGGTCAGAAAGGCAGGAGGACATGACCTAGAAACAGGGTATGGATGGGAGGCTGCCCTAAATTTCCAAAAAGGCATACTTCACCAAAAGAATGTACGTGATACAGTGTTCATGGAGGACCCCCTTCACGAAATGAAGCCAAGCAAATCCTGAGCAACGGGCACGCGTGGGCACACTCTGACTCAAGCTCAAGCGAAAAGGGAAAAGAGGATATCAAATAACGCGGCTCGTGGTGTAACATTTTGTAGCTACAGGGCTGCCGCGTTTTCCGTCATTTTGTCACCGCATTCATGCGATATGGACATTGGAGAAAAACACACAACCAAGGTAGTGGGGATATTCCTTATCAAAAGGGCTACCATCACTATCAACAGTCCGAGATTCTAAGATGGGAACAGCCCAGCTTTGCAGATGCAATGGCAGGATGGTCGCATACGTGGCGCGGCGCAGGCGCAGTTGCCAAGGGCCGCAAAGCTGCAACCAAGAATGCGTCCTGCAGTGGAACGTGCGTGCCAGGATCTGAATTCTTGGTTGCTGGTCAAACAAACCCTTGTGTGGCTGAGGATTCGGAAGTGCGCTTCTTTCGCGCTAAAGCCGTGATCTGGCTCGGGCGCCTGAGTTCCGAGGTGTTGAGACGCAAAGGCCTGATGCTCTGGATGATTGGTTTGAGAAGCCACTCTTGGAGCTGATCACGAGTGGCTTGTTCTGGCGAGGCCGTCGGCCATCATGATGTGCGTTGGTATCCAGCGCGTCCTCCTCTGGTTTACGTACTCCTGAATGGACTTGACGTTCACCAGGCTGCGCTTGTCCTGCAAAGAAGGGTTGGCTGACACGACCGTGTCATAGAGCGATATGTCGCCAACCTGCTGCGCAGGGATGTCGAGGATGATCTCCCCTAGGAAGTGGTTCGCGAAGCTGCCGCGGTCAGTGGCGACGTCAGCCGCAATGGCCTTGGCTGCCAGTGTTGACCTGCAGACTCTTGGCAGACCGGCATGACTTCCAGTCAATGAGTGCGCCAATCCGTGCTGTGAGGAGGTGTCCAAAACATGAGTCACTGTAGGCGACGATGTGGGTTGTGCGGTCGAAGTTGATTTCGGAGATGGTGATGCCATCCGTCGGTAGGTCTTAAAAAAGTCGGCCACGTCATACGAGGTCACGCAGGTCTGCAGTAGGTCGTCTGTCGTCCCTTTGCCGCAAGGCTGCTGGTGGCTGCTGCTTCTGGATTCTCTGTGTCCACCGCGTCCCCATCGTCGGGAACGAACTCGTCTTCTGCACCTCCTGAGCGTTGCAATGGTGTCCAGGGGCTGCTGCGACTCCTTGGCCATGGTCGATGACGACGTCTAGAACCGAAGGTCCAGCCACCTTTGTGTGATTTGTTCGGAGATGCGTTGGTAGTGGATTGATTGATGAAGCTGCTGTCCATCCCGTGCGGCGTTGCCAAAGTCCAGCTCATCCTGACTGGTAATCAGCACCAGTCTCTGCATCTTGAACGAGCTCTATCCAATAGCCGCGTCGCCTGGGCGTCGCCATCGTAAATGGCGTCCACGCCCTCTCACATCGGCGATGCCGATTCACGAGCCCCGCATCGTCCCCCTCTGCGGCGTACAGTGGACTCAAAGTCTGCCAACAGCTTCCTCTTCTGGTAGATGACCTTGCTCTGCCAACCCTTGGTCAAAACCTCGATGATGCACTCGGTCCCGTTGGTGGAGTTGACCTTCTGCAAGTCCAGATGCTCGGCCTCCTCCTCTCTCTGTAGCGAGGTGTACTGCATCATCGCTGCTTCGCTTTGCGGCATGAAGGCAGCGATCTGGAGCTTCCACTGTTCCACCTTGCGAAGACACTTGGGGAATGCTCTCACGTCCTCCCGGAAGTAGCGCCACCGACATATTGGAGCTTGGCTCAATTCTGAAGCAGATGTTTTTGGCAGGTCCCACCCGCGAACCCTAGAAGTCGATGGTCCCGGGGCACGATGCCCTGAGCCCAGTCCTGCCTGGGGACATACATCCACGTCAGCTCTGTAGTACTCCGTGCCCCTACCAGCGGCGCGCCGTGCCATCCGCAACCGTATTCTCTGAACGATCTCCTTGGAGTTAAGCGCCAGCCGGGGGCCCTGGTTCTCAAACGCTCCATCAGCCACTTCGCCGATGAGGTCCATGTCGTCATCCCAGAGGTCGCCGCCGAAGGGCAAGTCCTGCGAGAGACCATCCTCATCCAAAGCGGCTGTGGCTGGATGCCCGACTTTGCTACCAACGCACAAACCCCCGTGCGCTCTTTTTGCGGATCTGGCTCGGGCGCCTGATGTTGCGGCGATGAGGTGAGATGCAAAGGCCTGATGCGCGTGCAGGGCCAAAATCCACAGCTGGAACCTGGCGGGACATTCCATGCTAGGGTTGGACCTCAAAACCCACATATGGTTATGGTTGAACTTCCCAGTTGCAAGAAAAGAGGCAAATGCCAACTCAGTACATGAGGAAATGGATCCGAGAGCTTGAATTGGGCACGGCCACAAGCAGGCTTGAAGTGTGAATGGCAGTTAAATCCGCAGCCGGTCATGAGATTCTGTTGCATGCATTTTTTTTTGGGGGGGGTACGAAGTCGCAACACAAGTCAGAACGCGGCCGGGCCAGTCTGCACCATCTGTTTGAATGAGGGGCGAGCATATCAGCTGATCAGTCTAATAGTGAGCTGTACCGACTGTTTGTTCCGAGTTCCGATTAGTCTGCAGTCGTAGCAAGCAAAGACCCGGATCTGGGCCTTGCGCTTGATTTTGCGGAGCCCGACCGTGCCGCTCAGCAAAGAGGGGCCAACCCACAAAGGGTAGAGTTTGACACTTAGAGGAATGAGTTGATCAGGCCTAGTCACCCTAGTCCACTGCAAGTAGCCAGCGCTCCAAGTCAAGCAAGTCAAGACGTAACCTTGTGCAACACATGCCGGTCTCCCTCCACAATATGCCGATTGACCCTCTTGGCGGATGCAATGCAGGGTCCAAGAATCTGTGGGCGTCCGCGTGTTTCCCCAATAGACCTGTTATCATGCCCAAAGAAAGATCATCGCCAACATCTGCGGATTGTACGGCGTCCAACTTGTTTGCCGACACCAAGGACGCCACTTCAAGCTGCAAGGGCATCAACTGGAACGCTTGTGGGTTGAAAGGTCGCCTTCCTCAAGTATGTGTGCGAAAGCAAATTGGTTTGCAGCCATCCCCTCCAACCATGAACCCAAAAAGGTACACCCAACAGAATGCATTGCAAACATAGTGAGGCTAAGGGGTCAACTAGGCGCAGGGTCCCATCGCCAAGGTTGTCCTTCGGCTCATGCGCCGCTGGGTTCCCTCAAATCACACTCTGATCAATTTATGGGTGATCAACCTCTCCAAACACAACAAACCACAACCAAGAACTTAACATGGGCAAGCAAAATATATAACTGGACAACCCAAACCAATAAAAGACAAGACTTGACATGAAACCGAAACAGACACGTCCGCCTGGACCTGAAGCGGAGGCACTCGTTGAGGGCAGCAAAGTGGCATCCTAAACGTATCCTTCCAAAGTCACATCCTCAAAAAGAAACCATTTCGAGCTAAACGGATTCAAGGTTGGTCCCTCAAGCAATTGAGACCATCTCGGGAACTGTTGGACTGAGCTTTTGTGGAGCGTTTCGGCCCATGCCGAAGGCTCGCTTCGGCAACACTCAAAACATCTACGCTGGGCCAAGCTTTTCCCTTCGCAGCACGCAGCAGTTCTGGTGAAATTTAGGATGGGCGGAGATGCATGAGCAACTCCACGTTGAAACAACCAGAATCTCCATGCAAGACCAAAAGCAATCCAACTTTCTGGCTTGTATAGTTCCGTAAGAAACATATTCTGATTCAGTCTGATCATCACTTGCATGGATCTGGCTGTAAAAGTGAATAGCACTCAAAAGGCAGGAAGTGGTGGGATGGCCACCCCCGTGGTGGTCGGGGCAGGCCGTCACCCGCCTACAATCGCAGAGCCGAATCAGCTCAATGCGCATTACTTATTTCAGTGATTCAGTGCAGCTGCAGCTGCGAGCCCAAAGCGACTCGGACGGAATCCTCAAGTGAACTGGCAAATCGTTCTAATCCTTGCACTGTTCAACAAAACTGACATTATTTTGCTGAAACAAAGCCCGGTTTCCATCAGATTTGGTCGGCTGGCCTCTTCTGGGATTTGGCAAAGGATTGCTGGCTCCTCTGGGATTTGGCCCCTCTCATTGTCTAAGGCTGAGAAGTACCAAGGGCCAAGGAAGAAGGAAGCACCCAATCGTCGTGGCGTCTATGAAGCTCCCCAAGTGAAATGGGTAAGCTTGCCGTTGCCAAAGAGGAGGCGTGTCGTATCGGTAAAATTTGACCCGAGCCGTGCTAATTTTGCCTGAATTGGGGAATTTGTCTCCTTGGCCACCGACTTGACGTACACCACAGGAAGTGAGGCTGGCCAGCGATTGTCCTTTGCCCTTCCTACACATTGGTCTCCGCCAGGCTTCTATGGGTGGGGCGGCCGTCCAAAGAATCAAATATAGACAAGAGGTCCTCTTCAAGAGAACTGCTTTCAAGACACGTCCCACTCTCATGATTCTGTGGGAAAAGGGTACACCACTTTGCCCCACCCCGGCGCGGCTGCACTGATGCAAAAAACAATGGCTTGCCTACATATGTCATCCGAGCAAACAACGCACACGTCCGACACTTCAAACCTATAGCCCCATGATAGATAGAAATTGATAGAACTTATACAAACAACAACACAATGGTCACCATGACGTACGCATGGAAATGCCTATTGGAAGACTCCCAATTGGACAGCTTCCCCATGTTGCTTCTTGCCAATGAGCAGTCCAAAAATGGAGTCTTTCCTTGAGGCGACCACTGGGCCGACAATGAGCACGCTCACACGCCCCGCTCACTGCACCTTCCGAAATTTGGCCATGCGGCCTCACCGGCTTCCTCTGACAGGAATTCGTTCATGAGGGTCTTGGCCTGGACGTGTTATGGACCACAGCCGAAACAAACGTGCAATCGATGCCCTCGGGCGTTGCTGCAGGTTATCCATGGATCAAAGGTGGCAACGAGGTGGCAAAAGCCTTCTTTCCTTCCTGCGCTGGCTAAAGGGCTGGATCAACTCCAATTGAGTATTGCAGGAGCCAACGGGGAGCAAACGTCTTGGCTCAAAGCCTGCATTCGCGATGCACATTGAACGAATTGCGCGAGAGCAGCCTTCCTGTGGGTTTCCTTTCGCGGAACCGACTAGCACGGTGCCAAGTGGGTGGCGTCACCTTGGGCCACAGTTTGGAGCTCCGTTAACACTCCACAAGTTGCCAAGGCCACACTTCGAATTTGATTTGGTGCAGCTCAGCGCCCCGGGGCTAAATAAGCGACCCAAACATAAACGAGGCATGTACCGCATTGCGCCGCAGGACAAGGCCTCAATCCGAAAGTACATCCCAAACCTTATGGGTTCACCGGTTCACCTTGTGCGCACTGAGGTGGGCGAGGCGGACAAGCTACCAATCCAAGGGAGAATCGGGAAGCTGCATAAATCAATCCAACGCGAGTTGGGGGGTCCGTGTCCGAGAAGTGAAAGGCTCCACTTAAACTCAACGAGCAACATCGGCCATCGTGGGCGGCTTCAAATTCAGAAGCTGCAAGCATCTGTGGCCTGCCTGCGCCACATCCAGGGCGTTTGTGCTCCAAGGTTCAGAATAGCTTGTATATATATACACAAAATTTATATGTATATGGATCCATGCATATGTTCATACATATGCAGACACATCTGCGGCTATGAACAGGGGATGGCATGCCTACTCGGTGTACATAGCAAGGCTCACAACCAATCAGACGCTGCGCGCAAAGGAAGCAAATGCCTAGCCAAATGGGGCGGATGCCAAACTTAGAGGTCTCCTGTGCGGCACCATCCAAAAAAGGAATATACTTGCGTCAACACCCCCCTGATGTTGGCAAATGTGGCTTTTAACATCTTTTAACCGTTGTAACTGGCCCGATGTGTCCTTAGGAACTGTAGAAAGCGGCCTTGCACGCCGGGAGGCGCACTCTTGCGCATTGAAGTCGCACACGGTCTCGGGCTCAGCCAAGTCCTTGATCTTTGGCCAACGCCCGTCTAAGGCCACCTGACACCCGGGAGACGGCACGCGCGGGACGGAGGTGGTTACGGGACCGAAAACTGCTGGAATCAAACCAGGGGAGCGGTGGCGCTTGGAGATAAGCCTCAAAGCTAGCCGCTTGGAACGGCCTTGAAACAAAAGTGGAGGCTCTCTTTTGTGACGGCAATTGGCGGACGGCTGCGCATCGGCAAGGGCGAAGGGTGCCGCATGGCAAGGCAGTTGCAAGCGCAACATGGGCCAAACGATCTCGGTGGATGCGTAAGCGTTTTTGCGCCTTAGAAGCAGCCCCGAGAATCCGCACAGCACCACGCGCATCAATGGAACGTGTCAACTTGTGAATGCCTAGGCAAAAGAATAGAAACGTATTGTGTCTGGCGTACGGTGTATGTAGTTGTGCAGAAATAGCGGCTGGAACGATTGAGATCCGATGCAGCTAGGATCTAGGATCCCTATAGGGGCGTCACTTTCAGCTGGATGTGGGCGTGGCTCAAATTACAGAGCTAGAGTTGCGCAGTTTGAAGTTTTTGTCAGTTACCAAGGTGCCATTTTGGTATATCTTCTTAGCCACAGCAATGTGTGTTCTCAAGCATCTCCAGAAAGAAGCTTCAGCTGCTTCAAGCGGCAAAGGAAACCAATCCGCACAGGCTTTGAAAGGCCCTCGTGGTATTTATGGGAGTGTCTTCCCCCAAACACAAACAAACAATTGTGGCTTTACAGTTGGTTTCCCTTTACCATCAAAACAGAGTACCCTCCAAAAAGACATGCCATCCCTTGCCTGCCTGAAGACGAAAGGGGCCCAAGTTCAAGCCCTGGAGCCACACGAGGCCGGCAATGGTCGTTGGGTCCGCCACCTGGCGGGTCACTTGAAACTTGGCTTCGGCATGCTTCGGCACTCTTGGTTTCTCTGTGTTGAACCAAGTCGACCAAATCTGCTAAGGACATGGCCAGGAAGGATACTAGTTGAGATAGCCCCGCTGCGCGAAATGGGGGAACATCCGCAGCTGTTCAGTTTTCAACACAAACGTCACATCGGCCTTAGCATGCCTCCCTCTGCCTCCAGCGCCACCTCCTCCTCCGAGATGCGTGTGAGCGATTGCACCCCCACCTGCGCCAGCCAGCCCAGGAGCTCCTGATCGCACAGCGGAACCACCGGCTTCAGGTGCACCATGCGGGGCGCGGTCTTCTGAGCCACCCCCAGGAACGACGAACTGGGACGGCGCGGCATCGGCATCTAGCGATTTGGGTACAGGTGCCCCTGGCGCGCTTGAACAGAAACTTGCGACTCAAAGACCAAAGCTCTTTTTGCACAAGGAAAGCCCGGAAAACGCCTCGGAGCATATTCTTCCGAGCCCCAGTCACGCTTGGCCAAAGTTCTGACAAACCAAGTAGCCACATAGTTGCGGAACATAGGCGTTTCTGTGAAGACGGCCATCGCTCCAACTTTGCCACTTTGAAGTTAAAGCGCTTACCTCGCCCACAGAGAAAGCCCTGAAAAACCAATCTTGCACAACGCAAAGATCACACTGGTCCAAACTTCCGTGTGGGCCATGAAGGAGATGATTCCCCCTTACCAACCTGCAGGCAGTTTGGACCATGGACCATGTGGAGTTGCATCGGGTTCGAGGCCGCGGCCACCAATGGACGTTCTGCTCATTGATGGCGATGACCACGATGTGCCCTCCCACAATCACATGTGGAAGTGCAAAGACAGCCTTTACAAGACGATTTACATCAGATCTAGCACCCTTGAAAGCAAATAGGGACATGTTAACCAAACCTGGGGATGGGTAAGCCTGGGGATGGGTTGATAAGCGCAAACAACAGGAAGCCAACTATTTCCGGGGCTTTCCTGAACTTCTCTGGCCCAACACCCCTCCAATTAGGGCATACGTCATAATCCAAACCTAGTATATACTTTGTGCGGGGTCTACCCAAAACCCGTGGTAAAGAATCAGGCCCTGACTGGTTCACTGACCCGTGCCCTGATGTGACGCGAGGGACCGGGTCACCAATCCCATTTTCCCAAGCCCCGCTGCCTCCTCTGCACTTCCCATCCACTTTCTGATTGACGACCTTCACCTGTCTTCTAGCAAAGTGGCGATTGCCAACGGTCAGAAAGGCAGGAAAACATGACCTAGAAACAGGGTATGGATGGGAGGCTGCCCTAAATTTCCAAAAAGGCATACTTCACCAAAAAGAATGTACGTGATACAGTGTTCATGGAGGACCCCCTTCACGAAATGAAGCCAAGCAAATCCTGAGCAACGGGCACGCGTGGGCACACTCTGACTCAAGCTCAAGCGAAAAGGGAAAAGAGGATATCAAATAACGCGGCTCGTGGTGTAACATTTTGTAGCTACAGGTTGTCACCGCATTCATGCAATATGGGCATTGGAGAAAAACACACAACCAAGGTAGTGGGGATATACCTTATCAAAAGGGCTACCATCACTATCAACAGTTCGAGATTCTAAGCTGGGAACAGCCCAGCTTTGCAGATGCAATGGCAGGATGGTTGCATACGTGGCGCAGCGCAGGCGCAGTTGCCAAGGGCCGCAAAGCTGCAACCAAGAACGCGTCCTGCAGTGGAACGTGTGTGCCAGGATTTGAATTCTTGGTTGCAAACAAACCCTTGTGTGGCTGAGGATTCGGAAGTGCGCTTCTTTCGCGCTAAAGCCGTGATCTGGCTCGGGCGGCTGGTTCTGGTGCTGATGGCGGTGCTGGTGCTGGTGCTGGTTCTGGTGCTGATGGCGGTGCTGGTGCTGGTGCTGATGGCGGTGCTGGTTCTGGTGCTGGTGCTGGTGCTGGTCGTGGTGCTGATGGCGGTGCTGGTGCTGGTGCCTGAGTTCCGAGGTGTTGAGACGCAAAGGCCTGATGCTCTGGATGATTGGTTTGAGAAGCCACTCTTGGAGCTGATCACGAAGTAGCTTGTTCTGGCGAGGGCGTCGGCAGCGCGTCCTCCTCTGGTTTACGTACTCCTGAATGGACTTGACGTTCACCAGGCTGCGCTTGTCCTGCAAAGAAGGGTTGGCTGACACGACCGTGTCATAGAGCGATATGTCGCCAACCTGATGCGCAGGGATGTCGAGGATGATCTCCCCTAGGAAGTGGTTCGCGAAGCTGTCGCGGTCAGTGGCGCCGTCAGCCGCAATGGCCTTGGCTGCCAGCGTTGACCTGCAGACTCCTGCAGACCGGCATGACTTCCAGTCAACGAGTGCGCCAATCCGTGCTGTGAGGAGGTGTCCAAAACATGAGCCACTGTAGGCGACGATGTGGGTTGTGCGGTCAAAGTTGATTTCGGAGATGGTGATGCCATCCGTCGGTAGGTCTTAAAAAAGTCGGCCACGTCATACGAGGTCACGCAGGTCCCAGTAGGTCGTCTGTCGTCCCTTTGCCGCAAGGCTGCTGGTGGCTGCTGCTTCTGGATTCTCTGTGTCCCCCTCCGCGTCCCCATCTTCTGCACCTCCTGAGCGTTGCAATGGTGTCCAGGGGCTGCTGCGACTCCTTGGCCATGGCCGATCCGAAGGTCCAGCCACCTTTGTGTGATTTGTTCGGAGATCCGTTGGTAGCGGATTGATTGATGGCTGTCCATCCCGTGCGGCGTCGCCAAAGTCCAGCTCATCCTGACTGGCAATCAGCACCAGTCTCTGCATCTTGAACGAGCTCTATCCAATAGCCACGTCGCCTGGGCGTCGCCATCGTAAATGGCGTCCACGCCCTCTCACATCGGCGATGCCGATTCACGAGCCCCGCATCATCTCCCTCTGCGGCGTACAGTGGACTCAAAGTCTGCCAGCAGCTTCCTCTTCTGGTAGATGACCTTGCTCTGCCAACCCTTGGTCAAAACCTCGATGATGCACTCGGTCCCGTTGGTGGAGTTGAGTTGACCTTCTGCAAGTCCAGATGCTCGGCCTCCTCCTCTCTCTGTAGCGAGGTGTACTGCATGATCGCTGCTTCGCTTTGCGGCATGAAGGCAGCGATCTGGAGCTTCCACTGTTCCACCTTGCGAAGACACCTGGGGGATGCTCTCGTCTCATGTCCTCCCGGAAGTAGTGCCACCGAGGTGGTGGAGGAGCTCGGCTCAATCTGAAGCATATGTTTTTGGCAGGTCCGCGAACCCTAGAAGTCGATGGTCCCGTGGCACGATGCCCTGAGCCCAGTCCTGCCTGGGGACATACATCCACGTCAGCTCTGTAGTACTCCGTGCCCCTGCCGGCGGCGCGGAACCGTATTGTCTGAAAGATCTCCTGGGAGTTAAGCGCCAGCCGGGGGCCCTGGTTCTCAAACGCTCCACCAGCCACTTCGCCGATGAGGTCCATGTCGTCATCCCAGAGGTCGCCGCCGAAGGGCAAGTCCTGCGAGAGACCATCCTCATCCAAAGCGTCTGTGGCTGGATGCCCGACTTCGGGCTCCGCTACCAACGTCGCAACACAAGTCAGAACGCGGCCGGGCCAGTCTGCACCATCCGTTTGAATGAGGGGCAAACATATCAGCTGATCAGTCTAATAGTGAGCTGTACCGACTGTTTGTTCCGAGTTCCGAGTAGTCTGCAGTCGTAGCAAACAAAGACCCGGATCTGGGCCTTGCGCTTGATTTTGCGGAGCCCGACCGTGCCGCTCAGCAAAGAGGGGCCAACCCACAAAGGGTAGAGTTTGACACTTAGAGGAATGAGTTGATCAGGCCTAGTCACCCTAGTCCACTGCAAGTAGCCAGCGCTCCAAGTCAAGCAAGTCAAGACGTAACCTTGTGCAACACGTCCTCATGATCTATTCGCGTAATAACGCGCAATCACTCAATCACCTCGTCAGCGCCCTAACCTAAGCATCGCCTAAGCATCGCCCAAGCAATGTGATCAAAACCCCCACGCCTTGGTCAAAGGCACGCCCGCGCAGGCCACCAACCTGTCACGCTGCGGGCCCGTGCCTCCGATGAACAAGCCTTCCATTCTGGAGACTCCCTTCACAATCAACATCCAAGAGCACTTATTCAATTTATGGGTGTTGCTGAAAGTCGCAGCGTTCAGGTGGTTGTGTCCTTGTCCGAACAGTCATGGACATGGGGATCACTACTCTTGGACACACGAGGTTCGCATCTCTAGACAAAATGCCATTCATCAAACATTGTAAGGGCGCTATGATTACATACATTGATTGACATCATCCTCTCGTCGTTGGTAGGATCCCGAAGTCGTATTATATAAAGTATTTGGAGCCTTGTGCCCATAAAGATACCAAAGACCACTTGATTCCCAGGGATCAGTATCCGCAAGACCTGGAATTCAACGGCTTGCACCCACCCGGTTTGAAGCTTGGGCTTTCCCTGACAAACCAACGAGAGGGTGGCCAGGACATCTCGCGTTCCCAACCCAGAATTGAAAGCAACAAACAACCGCAAGGCCCGAGGCCCGGTGACTCGTTGAAACTCTTTGGGTTGTGGAGGATATGTCCTGGCCCACATGACTGCACCATCAGCTTCTACGGAAACAAGCCATTGGGCCGTTCCACCCCGGGTATTGTAGAAGAATACATTTAAGAAACCCTCTGCAGATTGACACGAAACCACAAGCGGGTCACGCCCCAAAAGGCGATTCTTCTCAACGTGATGGTTTTCTTGTTGGGCTCCAGGCATTCCACGGGAGAAAGTAGGTTTTGCAGCTATGGAGGTTATCGAGGCTTGAAAGCATGTATGCCAGCATGCAGCCCTGCTTTTCACATAAGTGGTATATAGCCTGAATGCCTGGATGGACTTTGAGCGCCCCAGATTTTTGCCAGGCAGCTGGAGAAAAGACAGCTCCAGCACATGGAAACAACATGCAGGCATTGTGCAGGCCAGAACAAAAGGGTCGACAAGCCATAGACTGTTTGCAACGTCTTGCTTTGGACGCCCATGCCAACCGCCTAAAAGGCCGACTCCTCAACCACTTGGCTCACTGGACTGGAAGAGCCTCAGCCTCGTCTCCGCGTCTCCGCTTGGCAGGGCGCGCGCAACCGGAAGGCCCGGTTTGCAGCAAGTGCACAAGCCGTGCGTTACCATAAGAGGCAGCGATCTGCAGCGGAGTGTTCCCCTCGTTATCGGCCTGCTCTTTGTCGGCGCCGGCCTCAAGCAAGCAGTGCACGGCCTCAAGATGCGCAAGTTTGGCAGCAAGAATTATGGGCGTCTCTCCACTGCTGTCGGCCTTGTTCGTGGCAGCACCAGATTTCAATAAGCGGCACACTACGTCAACGTGACAAAAGAGTGTAGCAGCGTGGATGGGCGTTTGGCCCTTGCTGTCGGCCTTGTCCTTGTCAGCGCCAGCTTCGAGCAGGAGGCTCACAATTTCTAAATGGCCCTGATGTGCAGCCTGATGGATTGGGGCGTGTCCGTTCTTGTCAGCCTTGTCTCTGTCAGCGCCAACTGCTAGCAAACACCGCACGATTTCCAAATGCCCCTGAAATGCAGCCTCGTGCATTGCTGTTCTTCCCTCCTTGTCAGCGATGTCAATTTCAGCTCTTGCCTCCAGCAAGCAACGCACCATTTTCAGACCGCCAGTGCTAGCAGCCAGCTGCAGCGCTGTACTGCCGTCGTTTGCGGCTTTGTCTTTGTCAGCGCCGGCTGCCAACAAACACTGCACAGCCTCATGGTAGCCCCGCTCTGCTGCACAATGGATCGGCGCAAGTCCATCATGGTCGCCCTTGTTCTTGTCTGCGCCGGCCTCCAGCAAAGCGCAAACAACTTCCACATGGCCACGAATGGCCGCAACGTGGATGGGCGCACTACCATTGATGTAATTGCTCGGGTCTTTGTCAGCGCCGGCATCCAGCAAGCAACGCACAACCGACACATGGGAACCAGCAGCAGCCGTATGCATAGGCGTGTCCCCATCGCTGGCAGCCTGGTTCTTGTTGGCGCCAGCCTCCAGCAGGCAACGGGCAAGTTCTTGGGACCCGTGTATGGCAGCAAAATGCAGAGCCGTATCTCCGTCGTTGTCCGCTTTGCAAGTGGCGGCGCCGGCTTCCAACAAGCGACGCACAACTTCGGTGTGGCAAAACAGGGCAGCTATGTGGACGGGTGTTCTCCCCTCATTGTCAGCCTTGTCTTTGTCAGCGCTAGCTTCCAGCAACCTGCTCACGACCTCCTTGTGGCCCTGATGCGCCGCCTTGTGGATGGGGGCATCTCCGTTGTAGTTGGCCTGGGCATTGAGCAGCAGAGACTGGAAAGGAAACCTGGGACAAATCTTAGCTCGACTTTTCTTCGCGCCCAGCGGCCTTGTCCTTATCTGCACCCGCTGCCAGCAAGCACTGCAAAACATTCAGGTGGCCCTGAAAGGCAGCCTCATGCAGCGGGGCGCTGCCCTCATGATTGATCAAATCCTTGTCAGCATCGGCTTCCAACAAGAAAGACACCAAATCAGCATAGCCGCATTCAGAGGCCACATGCAATGCTGCATTGCCCGAGTCATCGCTGATGTTGGGGTCCTGCAGCGTTCGATTCCCCCCTGCACGTCCAAAATGGCAGTCGGCCAGGGAAGGAAAGTGATCCCTGTCCTGGGGGCTGTCCAAAAGCGCCACGAGCCTCGCAGCATCACCGTCTCGGGCTGCCATCAAGAGCTGCGTGACCTCGCCCTCTCCCGCGCCAGTCTGGGCATTCACCTTGGCCCAATGGCCCAGTGGCAATGTCTGCTGAAATCCGCCGACGCTAGCCGAGCGTCTAGAGTACAGATGGTAGGAAGGGCTTGCTGAGAGTTTGCAATACGTGTCTGCCTCCAGAATCTGTCAAGTGGTGGTTTTATGGACTACGTACATCATGTATGTTGGTCTGAACATGTGGATGGTTGCCAAGACATGCATTGAGTGTGTGGGGGGGGAGGGGGGGTGAACGAGAGGGCAGGTTTTGCAGTCCCTGCATCATCAAGGTTCGTTCTACAAGGCTGCATGTTGTTCCGCTTTTGCTAATTCCATCTGGGAAGGGGGGACCGTTTAACTCGTTGTTTAACTGTTTGCGTCTTTACTCAACGTAGTCGTCCAAGGATCCCACAGACAAGCTCTCTGATTCCTGCCTGACGTGTCCCTCGTTACCAAAACTTCTGCCCGAGCCCAAACATATTGTAAAACCAAGGGTCATCACCAAAATATGGCAAACGTGCACTTCTTCCTGCTTCGAGCGTGTTTCCCAAAACCGGGCTGATTGGTCCTCCAAAATGATCAGTTGCTGCAAGGTGTGAGCAGAAATTGAAGTGCAAAACGAGCGCAGATATCCGCAAAACCAGCGCACATATCCTCAAACGAGCACATGCTTTAAAAAGTGGAAATTGCTCGCCTGCCTCCGAAAACAAAACGCAAAGTTGTTCAAGGACCGCGCTCTTATCAAAGCATCGATCAGAGAAGCATGGCTCGAACACACATCTTGCGAAACAAATTGTGTTACAATGGGTGCTCGAGGTAAGAACAAAACACGGGGTGCAACGCACTGGTGAGAGCAAAGTCACATAGGGCCGCACCACCACCACTAGCTCCGCAGTCATCCATGGGTCCTGCCTTGCCAGCACCCGCTCACCTCACTTGAAACCAAACGACACGGAGGGCCAAAACCAACAAAACACATGGAGAGTCCGCAAAACTGAGGGAGGGGGGGGGTGGTGCAAATTCAATGCGCCGCCTCTGGCTCCGTCCTGAAAACATTGAAGGACTCTCGGACAGAGATAAGCCCGCTCTGGCAGGGGCTCGTTTTTGAAAACGAACGGCACAATTGAAAAAAGTCAAAAGGCCTTGCGGCAAGGACCGAGGCACCGTATACCAGCGCGAGCCTTCTAAAATTCCGCACTCTCAGCTGGCTGGCCAACTCGCGTCTAAGCACATCGATGAAAGGCTTGCCAACTTCCCGCAATTCGCTTTGCTTCTCCCACGTGGCAAACCTCATGTGCAACTACTGGCTTGCCCAATGGGTCTGTAAACATTGGAAATGACGAGGCAAAGCTTTGGGGGGGATGACTCAACACAGCGGACGACCGCAAGGCCGCACTGTCAAACAGTTGGACCTTGGCAAAGTGTTTGCTATTGCCAAGTGAGAAACTCCTCCTCGTTCATCAGCGCTTCACCAGTGACTCTGCGAACGCAGCCCATCGCCAGCTCGTGCTACTGCAAAGCAAGCTATCCCGAGCCTCATGGCAACTTGCTCACGAAATCATGTCACTGCCTTCCTGGCCGTGGCAACTCACGTCTTGGGACACATCATCCCTTGCAACTTGCTTTGGGGGAGAACACCCGCCCTCGCAAATCGATCGATCTCTACACTGTTAAGGGGGCATGTGTGTTTTGCCGCGAGAAGGGGGGGCAAAGACTCCTCACCCATATTAGAACATGTTTTGGGTGTTTTGCAAACACCTTTTGCCTGACATGGCACGCTGGGTCCAGCTGGCCCCTTTGGCAATGCAGCAGGTCAAACACTTCGCACCCCCAACCCGCAGCACGGGCCAAAACCTCACATTTCACCTGATAGGAAAGCAGCTGAAGGACATAGGACAATAAACTGACTCATGGCGAATGTGCTGCAGCCATGGCAAATGTGCTCTCGACCCGAGCTCGCCAATGCCCTGCCTGTGCGCATGCCAGCTCCCTGAGAGTGGCAAGCATCGGCCTTGGCGGTACCGACCCGCATGAATCAAGTTTGCAGCTGGGATTGGGAGGTTTCAAAATAACTAACCGTGCTCCCCTCGTCTGCTCTTGAAAGTCGAGAGATTTAAGCACCTCTTATCTATATAAACCACTTCTCAGTTCTTGCCGAACAACTCGGGCTAGCTGCTAGCTGCTAGAGCTCCGAGGAATAATCATCATTTAAACACATCCGCACACTTCAGGCTTAAAGCAAACATCGCCATCTGTGTGTAACATTTGTTTGATACGGTCTTGATTCATGCTTTGTTCGTTTAGCCTGTTTTGGCCCTGGGCACCCTATTCTTTATGTGCAGGTGGATTGGTGCCTGTACTATAAGCCGTTCTGACTGGGAAACGGGTGCTTCGTATGGAGTTGCCTGCTGCCACTTTTGCACCCTGTGACCCTTGGCCCAACGACTCGCGACGGTCTGATAAGTTAGGGGCTAAAAGACAGCAAAGGTTTTCCTCATGGAGTGGGAATGTGAAAAGGCTAGGGACTCCAAATGGATGGCGTTGTGCAGGTTTCCGCTCTGAAGCGGGACCTAGTGTTGGTGGCCAAGAGCTAGAAATCAGCCTCACTCCAGCTGTCTGCCTTCGGAAGTCCGCTCCTGAGCAAAGGGACTTCAAGTCACTTTGGACTTTCGTCGCTTCTTCCTAGTCAAAAGGCCCGCCACTTCTTGATTCTCAGCAACATCTCGAGGCAAACGCCCTGAATTGTCGACCTTGTCGAATGAAGCACGATCGCTCAGCAAGCCGCGCACCATTTCCACATTGCCAGAAGCCGCAGCAAAATGCATGGGTGTGCTTCCACTGTTGTCTGCCCTGTCCTTGTCAGCTCCGGCTCTCACCAAGAATCTCGTTGCCCTCCTGTCAGTCTGCACAGCAAGGTGCATGGGCGTGAGTCCACTGTTGTCTGCCCTGTCCAGGTCAGCACTGGCTGCCACCAGGCGTCTCACAAAACTTGAGCCGTTGCTGAGTGCAGCCGCAACATGCAAGGGCGTGCGCCCTTCCGGAGAAGCCTTGTTGATGTCAGCGCCAGCTTCAAGCAAAAATTGAATAGCCCTCATCACGCCGAGCTGAACAGCCTCATGCAAAGGAGATATGTCTCTGTTACCGTCCGGGTCACACGGTAGATCCAGAAGACGGTTGAGCTCTTGGAGGTCGGTCGTTCTGACCGCGTGGCTCAGCTTCTGGGCATAGCATCCCGCTGGACACGGCCGAACCACGACCGTCAGCTCAGCATTCATCCAACCATCGCTTGGTGTCAGAATGTTCCCGTCGCACACCAGCTGGAGACGCCGAACGTGCGGCACCCGCATTCGCTTCGCCACCTCTTGCCTGAGCACATGGAAGAAACAAACGCCGTCCTCTCGCTGCTTGCGCTGCTCCTCCCACCACGCACGAAATTCTTGCTCAGATATCACATCCTCCCCCGAGACCTGGCGCACGCAGCCCATCATACCGAAGGACACGGAAGGGAGCAGAGACTTGTCAAGCCAGATTGCCCTGTGTGCTTCAAACTGACGAGCATGCTAAGGGGATAATTCATCGTTCTAGCTCGCTGAAGGGGTTGCAATTCAAGCATGCAAAAACGACCGTACATGACTGCATGTTGCATAGAGCGTTCTGTTGTGTATGAAAACCATGCCTGAACAAAGCCAAACCCCATTGGCCCTCGATCGGGCACAAGGACGGCGTCTCCTCCCCCTTCCAGAGTGAATTTCCATGAGCAAAAATGGCACGCTTCTTTTGGTTGATTTCTAAGGAGTGGATGTCCATAAGGGAAAACGGGCTTTCCCTCGTTGGTGTTAAAGGGACACCTTTCCCAAAAAGACAAACAGGGACATCGCAGGTCTGGTCTCCAGGTCTACCCGTACTCTCAACATGCTTGCAGTTTTTTGGCCTGGGAAGCCTGTGGAACATGAAAAACCTTTCCAGACAAATCTTCCAGGCCGATGATAGCCATCACAGCCTGGCCACCTGTTGTTGCTGAGGGCTTCGGAAGGACTTCACACACGCGCGCGCGCACGCACACACACAAAACACTCAAATACACAGAGACACACACACATAACAGACTGGTATAATTATATATGTACAGATCTCACATAAAGGTTTTTCCTTTGATCGAGCGCCTCATCCATTGGCCTCTGAACCCAAATGGGAGAGGCATTTCATTCCAGAGGAGTCCCCGTCACGACCCGAGAAGGGATCTGCCCAGGGGCTTGAACCAAGCGCTTGTGCATTTGGATTCTTGGGGTGTCGGGCCACGCTGGTCCTGCTCCCTCTCAATCAGGCTTAGGCCCGAGACATTTCCAAACGCTTCCGTCTGTCAAGGAAGGAGGTGGACTGCAGGCCTTTTTCTTTCAAGCCGGCCTTCCACCAAATCTGTCCACCTCTTCCAGAAGAGAGCCCTGGGCCCAGCATTGGTGTCGGACTAGCTCATGGCAAGCAATAGCTGGGAGGCACTGCCTGCGAATGGAGCTACACAGTTTATGTTGGGTCAGCATGTTCATGCACGGTCTGAAGTCCTGAGCTGCACGAGGGCAAACATGCTCCCAAAACGGTTGACGTTTGTGATTCTCCCCTGAGCGGTTTGCTTTGGTAAACAACCTTCTTGTTCAACATTGCTTCGTGTCGGGCAAGTGCTGCTCAGGCAACTTCGCCACTGAGCTGCTGAGGCCAACAACCTGCCCTGCACAGAATCCAGCCTAAAAGGTGGGCAACTAGCATGTTGTAATTTTGCACCAAGTGGGTCTTACTACCGTATCTCTCGCCAGATTGCATTCTGCATTCACGCGACGCCGCGAATCTGGTTTCTTCTGATTCGGGAGCTCGACATGCCTCCATCATTGCTGAAAGGACAGCCATGGTGCAGGATGCCTGACATCCACACTCCGTGAAACCTGCAAGGGCTGCACAACCGATTCCATGCTACAGCGACGTCGGCCAGGCACGTCTGCTGACTCAACTATCACATGGCCAAGGGGCTGCTTTCTTCTGGCGCTTGCCCCCAAAAAGGGAAGCGAGGTGTCAAATGGGATTGAACCTTTGCAAAACAAGAGCCATCCACTTCCTTTCGGAAATATGTTTAGGGGGAAGGCAGCGCTGCTCGATCCGTTTTCCACGCAGTTTCCGCAAGCGGGATGGGCACTTAAGCCCCAGGATCTTTGAGCCATAGCTCGGCTGGATACCTATGCGACTGGGCTTCGCGGAACTCGGCACATTGGAGAAAACTCATCTGCTGCATAAATTGGATGCAGAACAAGCAGCTCCTTGTGAAGCTGCCCGCTTCTATGTCACTAAAAGGCCTCCGAAAAGGTAATTCTTCACGTCAAAAGAACTTCCGACAATGAGGCAACTCAAGATGTGCACCTCTCCGCATGGGTTGGATTCCACAAGTGTTCGGGGGCTTAAATTCTGGGCAATTCGAACTAGTATCCCCCTGTGCTTTCGCCTAGCGGAAAGGACTTCAGATTCTTTAGCACCTGCTTCCTTTGGGATTCGGTGGCTTTTGCTTTGGGAAGGCAAAACGAAACCAACGCCGAAAAGGGCTCGCTGAGCCCTTTTGAAGCCGTTGTCACGGACCCCAGCACGGCTCCCCTTGAAGGAGCCTGCATTGAGCTGTACCTAATTCCCACGTGACGGCAACCGAGGGACTTCACCGTGGCAAAAAGCTGTCTGCGCTGTGCTTGCCATCTTTTTGTGAGCATCCATTGGGTCCATGACGCTTTACCTGTCAGGGACACATTGTTATTTTCCTGTAATGTGAGATGTTGCGAGTCACCAAAAAAGCGACTTGTATTGCATCGTCTACTACCATGTCCAGGTTATCAGCAATTGAGGTCCTGGTTGTTTACCGGTCAAGGTGCAACACATCCAGGCATACAGTGTCAATGAGCGTGTCGCCCAATCGGGGGCCAATGATTTCATCTCATTTCTGCAAAGAAGTCCGTTCTCGGTTGCACTTTGGAAAGTGGACCATTCGCGCAGCGCTGAGCATTGAACAAGTTGGAAATCCACTTACAGGGCCTTGCAATAGAATCCTAGGTCCTGAAGTAGAGAGATTAGAATAAGGGCGCCCATTTTTGTGTAGTCTATTTTAGGGGAACACAGTAAAACCCTCCCCCAAAAAAGAGTGAGAAAAGACACTACTGACCAAATCCCTCGGGAGCTTGGCCCGGCATGCCGCAGGCGCCCGATCTCAAGCCAAACTGGCCTCCTCGAGCTGGGACCCCACTGACTTCCTCCCCCGTGGCCATCCGGAAGGGGCAAACACGAGCCGCACATGTCGCAGAAGCCGAAGTTCCGGGCAGGAAGTTTGCCGCCAAGACTGTTCCGAAAATGGTCCTTCTGCCGGGTACTTCTCAAACTGATTGCCATACCTCCAAAAAGCATATCTGTTGTCTCCAATCGGAAATGAGAGGACAGGGCTGTTTTTAAGGGGGCTGCGAGTGACGAGCTGGTCCCATGAGGAGACGCCCCCGGACTCTGCGCGCTGTTCAAGCCCCGGCACATGCTCGCGGCGAATTCACGCGCCATACTTGAACATTGAGCTCGTTCCAATTTACCATTCAATACATCCAGTTTGCTCACTTCTGATCGAACACACCATCGTGGAACCGGCGGTTTTTTTCCAGGACGCTCATGCGTTTCTACCCACATCTTCGAACAGAAGCTACACATGCAATTTGCACTTGATGAACCAGTCTCTGCATTGGTGCCAACCTCGAGGGCTGTACGGACTCAGCGTGTGAAGGAAGCATGCTCGCGAGGGTTGGGAAAGAAGGCAACATCCTTGCTCAATGACTCTGAACTGGAGATACCAACCCGCACATGGCCGCTCTATTCAAGGTAGGACACAGAGTTGTTTGCAAGCAGGTATCCAAGGGACAAGCATTGTTATTCCCTTTGACGGCACACACCGTCTTTCACGGACCATTGCCATGCCAGTCAATGGGAAAACCGTTACCCTTGTGGCCACCTATAGCGTGGTTTGCCAAGTTTGGGCCTTGGAGTCTTCTACCTGGGCTTGGAGTGCCCGGACGCGTCTAGCTGTTGCCACCCTTGGAGCCTAAGCCTTGAAGGACAACGAGAGAAACCGTGAACACCAGTGCATGGGATGGAAACAAGCTGGAATCCACATCGCTATTGGCGGCTATTGGGGTTGGTTACGGTTGGTTAATTTGGATGTGGGTGCAACCTCCCTTTGACCAAAAGGAGCTCATTCGCGCCGGCGGAGTCAAACAGGGGCTGACAGAATGCCAAGCCATCGGCAAGGATGGTTCTTTCCGTCCTCAATTTGGAAAAGGGAAATCAGCATGGCGTCCAATTGGGGGGGGGCCGGGGGGCCTGAGAAAATTAACGCACACAGATTCTCTGGTGGATGCCTTTCCATATGAAGGAAATACACTGCCAATGGTTCGACAACACGCGAATTCCAAAGCACACAGCGCTCAGCTCACCCATTCAGAATTGGTTCTACTCAGATTTTGTCCAAGGCTCTTGTGAGCCATTTTTCTATGCCCTGCAGCCAGGCGGTGAGTTGGGGGTCCCACCGTCCCACAGATAAAAGTGTCGAATATTCAAAGAGCCTAGCGATATCTCGGTCCTGGGAACAAATTTGAAGATCCTTCGGTACTCAATTTGAATTGGTACTCAAATTTGCCGCACCCGCGCCAAAAGGGCCTGTCGAAATGAAGGACCCTGCCAGTTGGCTAGGCTTCATATGACGGACTGGTTTTCCCGGAGCCCTTTCGTTGAAAACGTTGACCTCCTGGTTAGGGCCCCAGCGGTTGACATACTTCCACTGCATGGAACACAACCAAGGGCGGGTTGCAATTTCATCACGGGGCACCGCAAAGAACAAGGAGCACCATTTCAGGGTCCACAAAATGGGAACCCTCCGTCCCTGGGTTACTCCCCCTAAAGAAAACCCAAAACAGGTTCTGACTCCTTGGCCCCGTTGGGGGTGAGCCGGGCAAATCGGTTCGGTTAGGTCAAATCAACGGCGGTAGCGACCGCTGCCGCTCACAAAGTCCAGCACTGCGCTGCCCGCGGCTCCTCTCCCAGCCGGGAACTCGGAACCCTTGCCTTTTTGCGTTGACTTGCAGTGAAACCAGCAAAAAAAGATGTAGATGAGCAATGCACAATGAGCTTTACTTAATACAGTTGGAGCCTCCAAACCCAAACGCCGCACGCCTTCTGAGTGAGGGCAACAAAACAGTCAGTTCTGGTTGAGGGCACCAAAGTATTCCCGTCGGAGCGACCCTGGCCAACCTCTCACAAAGAAGTAAGTCCCTGTCCTTGGCTTGCCAGGATCTGTCCCAAGCATTTCGCCAGAACCTGGCAAGTCGAAACTGCAAAAGGTTGCAGGGGGTTCACTGAAGGCAGAGTTGAAGGTTGAAGAGTGGAACATCTCGAAAAAGGCAACAAGTTGGGGAGAGTGCCTAGAGTGAAA